ACAGTTCCCATCAGTAGTTACTTAAGCCTGTAGGTATAGGAATCTATGACTATTCTCCTCCTTACTTGTCCTGCAATCTCTAGCAAGTCTTTTGTTAGGGGGAAAGAATGTCCTGAGCAAACTCCATACAGGCTTTGTGGACTCCACCCCCGTTCCATCAAGACACTGGGAACTACAAATCCCATGATCACCAAAAGAAAGATTGCGAGGAACTCAGGGCAGAGTTAAGCAGCTATGTTCTGGGTTTAAGTATTTTACTGGCCATGTGGCCAGGGGTCACTCTCTTGGCCACGTTGCACACTAGGTTTTTCGCCAGCTCGGCAGGTCATTGGAATTCCAAGTCAGTGGAAACAGTAGGACACATTTAAGAACTTATCCCCCTCTTTTTCTTCCTGAGTTATTCGTTTCCCCATTTCCCCTTCCCTTGTAAATAAACCTTTTGTCAACCTTTTGTGTGTGCCTGCAGTTTAGCATTACTTAAGTCCCCTTTAAGCCCACGGGTGAGAACCTACAGTCAGGCAACCCGTTTTATATCGGGGTTGCTCTGTAACATTTTTACCCTACACAGTCTTAGTTTTCTCATCAGTAAAACAGGAGTACCTATAGTAGTAGTTGCTTTTTAGGGCTCATTCTTTTCATAAATGCTGCACTTAACTGAGTGATGTATTCCAGCCTCCTTTCTAACCTGTAGGGATGTAATAGTGGATACTAAAGCCCAAAACCCTTGTCCTTGAAGAGCTAACATTTCAGAAGGGTAAGAAAGACAATAAACAAATCAGTTGAACAAATCAGTTGGCAAAATATATAGGATGTCAGATAATACTAAATGCTCTGGAGAAAATTAGGTAGAAAAACGAGAGAGGATATCTGGGGTGGGTTGGGGACTGCATTTGCCATTTTAAACTGGGTAGTAGGCTGGGGCTCCCGAGAAGGAAACATTTTAAGAAAGACCTGAATTCCATGAGGGAGTTAACCCAAGTGTTTGTGTGGGAGACCAATGGTCTATGTGAAGGGCAATTGTTCTGATGCAAGAGAGTGCACATTGTGTTTGGGAAATAGTTAAGAAATGGTGTCAATTGTCTGTATAATGGCTAAAAATAGATACTGTGTTTGGTAAGGAGGCACACACTTTAAATGAAGGGTGGCAAACTTCTTCTGTAAATGACGAGTAAATCACACTCAATATTTTAGGCTTCGTAGGCCATAAGTCCCTGTAGGGACTACACAACTCTACCATTCATTCATAGCTTGAAAGCAGCTGTAGAGCACTTAAATGAACACACATCTGCATTCCAATAAAACTTTATTTACAAAAACAAGTAACAGTCCAGATTTGCCCTGGAGCATAGTGAGCTAACTGGTGCTCAAAATACACCTGTCACTCTAAGATTTTAGGAAATGAAAGGTACATAGAGGCATAGAGGGGAACATTAACACATAAAACAAAGAAATTGTTTCCTTATCGCCTGCCCTCACCTCCTGATTGCAGAACACAGCCATTCTTACCGGTCTGCTTTGGTATGTGGTGAGGAGTTCACCTCATAGTTTCTGCTCTGCTTAGCTACCTTCTAACTCAGGTTTTGCTTTTTCCTTTGCTTTTTCTTAATTCACCTCAATAATTCTTAATTTCTCTGCTGCTTCATTCTTGCTCTCAGGGTCCTGCCCTCATCTCTTTCTCACCTGTTCTATTTGCTCCTGCATTTTAGCTCTTTTATCTTGCTCATTTTGAGTCTCTGTTGGTGTCAGGCTCATTGGGTTTGTTTGGTGAGATAAACTATGACCTGACACATGTCAAGCAAGAAATGGCGGTTTTATTACTAATAGGATGGCTGCCCATGGCGGCCCCCACCATTAGCATCAGTACTTGGGACAGACTTGTTGGTGCTGAGGGAGCCCAGCTTGACTGCATAAGGGAAAGGGGACAAACCTTGTCAGGAGAGAGAAGGAGAGTAGGAAGAAGGAAGTGCAGAAGGGGTCAGAGCTGACAGGTCAGGACTCCTCACTCATGTGAATGTGACTGGGCAAGTGCTTGCACGCACCATGCATGTGATTTTTAGTCCAAGGTAGATGCAGACTCTGTCCTTAGCAGGGGAAGAATAATTCATAAATCCAGGCACCCCTTCTTACTTACAACTTGAAAATCCCACCTTAATTGTGTGTGCCTTGTGATTACAGGCCATTAGAGACCATTAGTAAATGAACTAGGAGATTTCAATCATGAAATGCAAATTCTCTTGTGAAATGCAAACTTAGTTTCACATATTAATTGTTTCTAATTGAGGAGGAACATTTTAGCCAACTAGCTTCTGGAATTTAAGTGTAATGAGAAGGATAATTCAGAGGTTTGTTAATTGCTTTCCCCATTGCAGCTGTTCGCCTTCAGTGCAGTCCTGCACTCTGTGTGCACAGGGTTGTGCATGTACAAATGGTGGCCGAGAGGCCTAGAGTCCTTTCACTATAGTAGTTGTATAGACAACAGTCACCTGTACCTTTGAAATTAATGCCAATAGGGTGGAAAAGAAGAAAATAAGAGTGAATAAGAATCAGATTGAACCTAGAGATTCAGGTTCTAAATCTGCCTTGACTGCTGAAGGTGCTATTATTACTTCTCCAGATTTCTGGACACAAAATGGCAAAGATCTCATTCAGCTTTAACCTCCCATGATTCAACACATTCTCCCATGATTTACTACAAACTTCCATGATTTCAAGGCAAGAATTGTGTGGGAAAAGAAAAGGTCTCCCCTTTTCTTTTTTTTAAAAAGATTTATTTATTTTTATACAAGAACCCGGGTACAGGCCAGATGCGTGGGAGGGTGAGAGCATTCACGGGAGAAAGAGCGGGGAGCAGAATAGGCAGACCGAAGAAATACACTGCTGAGGGGAGCAGAGGGCGAGACAGGTGAGGTCTGCTTCACCATGTGGGATTCTCGCTGGCTGGCCGGGATCAAACCCATGCTGCAGAAGTTGCGGACAGCCTCACAGTGCAGTGCTCAACTGCCTGCGCCACCAGGGAGGCCCTCCCCATTTCTTTTTTTGAAGGGTCAAGTGTGCTATGGACAACTCAGCACAGTCACAATTACTGTGGACCTCATTTTTTTTTTTTTTTAAGATTTATTTTATTTATACAAGAACAAGGGTACAGGCCAGATGTGTGGGAGGGTGAGAGGATTCACCAGAGACAGAGCAGGGTGCAGAACAGGCAGATCAACTGAAATACACTGCTGAGGGGAGCAGCGGGCAAGAAAGGAGAGGTCTGCCGCACCATGTGGGTATCTCCGTGGCTGGCCAGGATCCGAACCTGAACTGCAGAGGCTGTGGAGAGCTTCACAGTGCTGAGCTCAACCGCCTGTGCCACCAGGGAGGACCCCCCATGGGTTTTGAAGGAGGTCCTTTACTATCTCTTGGTGTTCTATTCCACGCTTATTTTAATACCTCCTCCTCATTTATCTTTGCTAGTTTCAGTGATGCTTTGTTTTTCTCCAGAATATCAACCTACTTTCTGACTACATCTCCTCTGATGCATAGCTGTTCTCTCTCTCAATCTATAACAGAAAGCCTCCTGCTTTCCTCTGTTCTTGCCTCATCTTGCTGCAAAAAAGGGCACTCAGCACGAGTCTACCTACCGCTGCTGTTGATTGAACTTGGTAATTACAGAGATTATTCTCTTGGCATCTTGACTGGGCTTAATTCCTCAGTCCTCATTATTATATAATAATTCGCCAGTTAGAACTTGCTCATCAATTTCTCCTCCATCTATATGACTTTTTTCTTTATAAGAATTAAAGCAAGTTCTTATCCAGCCCCACCCCCTTTCCACGATATTACATGCTACTGTCCATTAGATTCAAGATGATGCTGTTGACAGAGGTATTTCCAGGTCCTGCACTCTGGCCTGACTTTAGTTTTTACCTTGGTTGGTAGCTCCCAGCACACACCTATATTCTCAGAGCCTGTGGACAGGAAGCAAATGAATGGGGGGAACACTTTCCATGAAAAAGAACATAAATAGGCTCAACTGACTTTGAAAAGGCTTTGCCTGAGTCTGTCTCATCATTCCATCAAAGGCTCTTCTCAAAGGGAAGATCAGCTCCCTTCACAGCATCTCACTTGAAAGATCCATTTCCTTTGCTTCAAGAAAGGGAATCCCTAAAGGGGAGGTGTAAATCAGTGATAATAGAAGTATCCTGCCAAGTTGAAAGTATCTGCTTTGGATAAACCAGAAATTTAATGTGGCTCATGGCTCTTTCTATAACAGACATCTCTGTTTTTCTGAGGTCCCCAAGTTCCTAAGAGGCCAGAATATCCTTTCAAGATCCTTAGGACAGCACATGTGGTTTCCTGGCAGGGAACCCATGTGTAAAATGGCGTCTAATACGCCCTCCGTCATGACACTGTGAACAATTAAGCAGATTTGTGTTCCAGGCATGTTCTCATTAGGTGCAGACATCATTAAAAGTAATTAAAACTTGGCAAATATTCTTTTTGGATGATTGATATGCCATCTCCACTTCTCCTTTTGGGAGGTCATTACCAGTTACCAAAAATGAAACACCTGCCTTAACATCAATGTGGCTGCTGCCCGAAATTTAGCAGCATGCAGCATTTCCAAAGCTGTTAAATATGTCTGTTGTGCCAAAATAAATGGGGTCTATGTTTACCTAAGTCCTGAATAAAAATACAGTGGGTTCTGGGGCACAAATCTGATTAAAAGCTTCTCCCTAAGCCAACATGAAAAACTAAGTCAATTTAATTGAATAACAATGGCCATTTAGTGGTATAAAGTGTGTCTAAGAGAAAGCATCTCTCAACTTGAATTCTGATTAATGCAATTAATATTTTTCATGCTCAGTATTTTTCATATATTCAGGAAGTACATATTTCCCATGACTTCTGAAGGAACCAAGGGAGTATTAGATATGAAATTCACCATTGAAGGGATTAGGACCAGATAGCTGATTATATCAAGTGGTAGGAAGATGAATTTTTATGAGAAAAAGTGGGCTGAACATTTTTTTTTTTCCTGGACATTGTTTTACCAGAACATCTTATTCTTTGGTCAGTTTACTGTATTTATTACCTCAAATGCCTTCACTTAGGGACGCATGAGTATAAAATCTCCCCATAGCTTCTCTCATCCATTTGTAAGAGGGCCCTTATCCCTGGAGATCAGGAACTCTGAGTGGTGACTGAACTGGAACTCACTGACAAGTCCACATAGGGGGTTTTTCCGTTAACTTTTAGCGTCCCCCTCTGGTCTAGACCTCATCATCGTTGTTGTAAGGGACACGCATAATCTTAATTTATATAGGGGCAGACACAGACTCAAAGTGAATTGTCTAAGTCGGACTCTCAAACTAAAATCCTCTCAGTCAGAAGGTGGGACTCGGAATTGGGTTGTGGTGGCCCGCCTGCCTATCCAGTTAGATCAGGAGCCCCACACAGATCTCTGGCGGGCAGCACAGAGCTCCTGCCCCCAGCAGTGGCAGAGCACTGAAAGGGAATGCCTCTCTGGAGACTCCCTGACATAGAGCTCAAGGGCCTAGGCTCTTTCCCACAGATGAACATGTGTTTTTATGAAAAGACCACACACAGGACTTGGGATCAATGTTGTTTCCAGATCTGGCCTGCACTGGCCATGTTGCCTGAGACAAATTATAGAACTATGACTACATTCAGCTGGAAGGAATTTAGGAATCACCTCTGCGGGTACATCAAAACCACCAGGACAGCTCCTTAAAGCGCAGATTCCTGGGCCTCCCTACCAGATTTTCTGAATTGGCAGATTTTGGGTGGCACTGGAGATTCTGCTTTTCTAGCAAGTTTGCAAGGGATGCTGATGTTGACAATCTGCAGCCCACATGAGCATAAACCATGTCTGATAACCTTTTCTTCAGGTGGGGCATCAAACTCTTAGGGCCAGTTAGCAAGTGTTTTAGGATTCACAGGCCATAGAACCTGCGTTGCAACTACTCATCTCTGCCCTGGTAGCTCAAAAGCGGTGAGTGACAGCCAGATCGTTAAGTGGGTGTGTCTGTATTTTGACCAATCTTGACAAATCAGGAGGCAGCCCAGGGACTGTAGTTTGCTGACCTCTCACCACATGCTTACAGTAACTGGGGTCTTCCCCACCACTCCTTGTTTTCAGCTGTAAAATGGGGATGATATTCCTGGTCCAATTTTTCTCCATGACTATGATGAAGATAAGCTGTAATCATACCCTAAGCACTCAGAAAATAACAGTCTGAATCAGGTTCAATCAGCCCCATATTATCAGCTGTACTGCTTAAGTATGACACCTTCATTTATTTTAATAATCATTACATTTATCTTTGTAATAATGTTCCCTCAAATTAAGCATCATGTACAAAAAATCAGAATGCTAAGAGATGACAGACAGGAGGGATCATTTTGAAGGGTAATTTAGGAACTCCCTTAGTGTCAGAAAATAAAAAAGATAACTCTTTTTATAGCAATACTACCTTCATATGTAGAATAAAAACCAAGTATTTAACAAAGCTGTGACAGAACAACAAAGTTTATGATGGCCCAACACACGGAGTGCCTTAGTAAAAGACTTTTGTTAAAAAACATTCTATAAACAAGGACATAACCACGTAGTTATATTATTTTTTATTCATGTTAGAACTTCTATCAGTGTTTGAACATTAATATTTAGAGAGTTTGTACATTTTCATCTTCCAAAGTTTAAAATGAGAACCACACTAGGTCACAAATGGTATCTAATTCATGTTTCATAATTGCATGAATATTCACTCGATCTCACTCTCTTAACACTGTTAACATTTTCTTTTCCTTGCTGTACTTTACAATGAAAAGTGTGCCCCACTCATGTCTCAGCAAAGTTACAGACATTACGGATTCATCACATATAAATTCTTTAAAAATATACTTCTGTCAAAAGACTTGACGACTACTATGTACACTACAAAAATAAATTTTCATATAAATAAATTATATGGCATACTTTTATCTTTGTAATTGAAATGACACAAACCCATTTCCACCAAAACTGGCAGACAATGAGACCCAGTTTGAATATTTATTTCCTTTAAACTCCTTACACTAAAACCTAACATGAGTCCTTAATGAAAATGTTATATACTCTGAACTATTTAACATTAGTAAGCACTCTATACAAATAAAAATTCTGTTCGAAAGTAAAACATAGCTGTAATAGTGTTTCCAATAGAAATAAAATCCCTGCATTTTTTTCTGTTATAAACTGGCATGACAAATACTGTAGGAAAACATTCTTATGATACAAAATTATAAATATCAGCAAAGATTTTTTTAAAAAATTAAAACATCCAAATGAACAAACAAGACAGACAAAATAAAACTATTTTAAAAAGAGAGAGAGAGAGACAAATTCTAATTGCCTGCCAGCCCAGAAGAGGTTCTTCACTGTGCAGCGAGCAGGGGCTGTGCAAAGCCATCACTCACCACACTTGCCGAGCTGGGGAAGAAGGCGGGCACGCCCAGAGCCAGAGGGAAGCAGGCCTCATCATTTTGCATCATCTCTCTCCTGAACACAAGACCTAAGTTTTCTGAGCAGAGCTGGGTGTTAGGTAGACAGACAGTATGGCTGACAGAGCCACCAAACAGTAGCAGTGGGGCGATCAGGGCCCCTGGCATATTAACACACACAAACTTAGCAGCCACAGGTGGCTTCCAATTATTATCTTACATATTTGTGGAGAGTTGTAGGGTCTGAGGTTACTACACTGCTGGTACTGCTGGGGGGCCTTGGTCTTTTGATGAAGATTTTCCATGTAAAACAGGAGGGCATCATGGGGCTGCCATTGTGCACTCCAACAGTAGCTTAGTCTGGGTACCAAGTGCTCCCCAGACATTGGCTGGTCTCTGGCTATCAGGAGAGGAAGACCAAACCTCAGAGCAGGATGACAGAACAGATACAGAAGCAAATCTTTAGAAACTATGGCTGGTTGAGATCTGCCTCGATATACATTCTTCAGTGGGTACAAGCAATTAGCATCTTTCTGCTCTTCAATCAATGCCACATAGAAAGAACACGAAGAATGATGAGATGAGGGAGATGCCTTATGTGGGAGGTTTGCACCCAACATATTGACACACTGACAAGGATCCTTCTGAAGCTCACATCCTATAGAACTCTGACTCTGAATCACCATATTGGATGCTCACTATTTATTTTTAAAAAAGATGCAAACAGATCCAGAAAGTTGCAACCAGCTGTGCAATTTAGAAAGAGAGGGAGTTTAAAGTGTAGGGACTCAAAATATCACCTTTGGGTGTACTGCTGACCCAAAATTAATAGTTTTTTCTACCAGTAGCAGGACCTTTGTATCCAAAAGATTTCTAATCCATCCTTAAATTGGGGTGGCGAGGGGTGATATTGTGTGTGTGTGTGTGTGTGTGTGTGTGTGTGTGTGATGAGAGAGGTACAATGAAGGCTGCATATTTTAGAGTACACACTCAGGGCCCCACTGAGGCCCACAACTAAGCATGTGATCTAATTCTTTAACACCAATGAAGATGAAGAGATGTGGGCTCTATACCCTGAGATCTACTGTCTATCACAATGATCCATGAGAAGGAACTTCTGTGAGGCATAAACTGGGGTGCCAGGATGGTAGTCAATGATCCTAAGAGAGGCCTGGACTTGAAGTTAAGTCTGGCAAAAGGATAAGGTGATGTTGAGGGCTCGCCCTCTACCAGCATGAAGCAATGAAGATGTCCTGACTCTTCCAGCCTGACTAGGTCAGAGCCCACTAAGGGTTGCAGACAATGAGAAGAAACAAACAAAAAAAAACCCCATAAATCACAGTATAGTACACTGGGAAATCACACACGTGTTCACACACACACAAAGATTGGAGAACTGCATCTGACTACACCTGGAGAAGCCACCGGGATTAACGTGCTTTCTTCATATCTGCTCATTAAACAACAAAATTATCACGCATAGCGTGTTTGCAAGTTAACAGTAACATTTCATACTACCACAGGGTTGTGATATGCAAATTTAAAATATTTTAAACAGAAATCTTTACAAAATAATCCTATTATATAAGCAATATTTGCATAGAATTATACAAGTAAATTATACAATATTTAAGCAGCAGCAACATATGCTGGAATTTAAGACTAAGTTAAGCTTGGTTGTGGCACAGGGAGGGGCCCTGTGTGGCCTTCATGCCCACTCCGGCAAGAGTGGAGAAACCCGATCATACTATTACTTTACATCCGTTCCTTCTATATTACATATGTGTACACCTCTTAAATATTTATAGAAATATTTCACAAAATAATACAGTTGGTTACAGTAACAATGAACCGCTCTTCTGGTGCAGCACGTCTTTGTAACTCCCAGCAGTTTTCTTCAAGCAGTTCTGGAAAGAGGTGGGGGCAGGGGGCGGGGGGTTTCCAATCTTTGGCCTCTTTGCTTCAGATTTTACTCACCCTGTAAAGGAAAATAAAAGGAAGTCAAACTACGCAGTAAGTGAGCCCATATCTGCAAAGCACAAGAACAGGCCTCACTGATCTGTGACACAGAAATCAAGATAGTGGAGGGCTGGGTGGGGTATGAGGGGCTTTTGGGGGCTGGTCACAATCTCTTCTTTCACCTGGGGGCTGGCAACATGGATGTGTCCACTTCATAAACATGCACTGAGCTGTGCATTTATCATACATACCTGTTATGGCACTTAAAGAAAGACTGAAAAACAGGTGAAATGTGAAGCTGTTAGCTTCTTTAAGTTGCACTAATCCTCAATAAATTAACAGTGAAGGGAGATACCCAACTGGTTTCTCAAGGATGACAAAGCTTGGACATGTCAACCTTGCCTTGGGGTTCAGCTCATATCAATGCCCAGGGGCACTGTAGCCTGCGGAACCCCAGGTGGCTTGGCTCTCTGTGCCCCCCTCTGTCTATAACCCGCCCACTGGCCAAACACAACGCACCTCAGTTGGAGCTGTTTCCCCGGGGCCTCTCCTCACATTCCACGTCTTGCAGCTCTATGACTTCCACCTTGGAATCCCTCCTCTCACACCGGACGTTAAAAGGCACATGGGGGTCCTCAAACAGCCTGTGATCAGTTTCAGGGTAGTCCTCGTAGCCTGGACACAGCCCCCCTCGGGTGTTCCAACTGGGCCCCGGCCCAGGAGCAGGCGGGGGATGCACAGCAACAGTCACAGATGCCGAGGCCGTCACCGTGGTGATGGGCTGGCAGTAGCCGGGCACAGAACTGCCCATGGCAGTGAACACTGGGTGCCGTGAGTGGTGAGAGCGGGCTCCCCGGGGGCCCGTTTGGTCCCTGCTGCTAGGGCCAGAATGCCCTTCAGTAGAAATTTCAAAAGCGTCTCTGCGCGGTCTATAGGGAGGTGGCCGAAAGCCTTCTCTGGGGGGTTCCCTCCGGGGCTGCTGGCCTGGCCGTCTAGGCGGCAGGGACCCTGAGTCCAAGTGGAGCTGCTGTCGAGTGTTTGAGGGTGGGTGATGTCTTGCTTCAGGAGGGACCACCTGTAGAGGGTAAGGGCAGGTTAAGACAGGCCGAGTGCAAACCCCAGGCAGGCATCTCCCCCGCCCCCTAGCCCTCCCTTCTTGGCTCTGGTTTCTGCCTGGCCACCCACATTCAGCTCTTCTTAACCAAGAGCTCAGTCAAATCCACCGAGGACTGGGAGAGGCCCTGGGGAGCTAATGGGAGCCTTCCTCCCACAAAAGAAAGCCCTTTTTCTTAGAACCTCCACGGTATGGGAGAAGAGCACCTAATTTGCACGCTGTCGAGGCTTTCTTCAGCGTAGCTGGCCGGCTGGGTATGGCCACGGACCACAGATGCAGGGCTGTGGCTGGACAATGTCTTAGCTGCCTTACTCCCAAAGTCCACCACCCCACCCTGCTTAGTCAAGGCAGATGGGAGCAAACTGAGCTCTGCCCAAGAATAGGATGTTGGCAGGACTATCTATACCTAGGCTATTGCAGCTGCTAGGAACATATGGCTATTTACATTTAAATTAACTAAACCTCAGAATGCAATTCCTAAGTCATACCAGCCAGATTTTAAATGTTCAATAGCCACATGTGGCCAGTAGTTACTGTACTAGGGAGCACAGAGAAAGCATTTGCACTGCGTGGAAAGTTCTATGGGGCAGCACAGCTCTGTCTGGTTGTTAGGAATCTGGTTTCTGGGTCTCTATACAAAGCATGGAGCAACACAGTGGCCACATCAATCAAAAGGACCGTGACCAACTTCAAAGTCGTTCAGCTTGTACCTATTTTTAGGCTCCTGCTGAACAAAACCAGATTCACACTGCAGCTCAGCAGGCATCGTCACGGGGGGTAAAAGGAGGAAAATTTAGGTTATTTGGTTGGCCTCTCTCTCTTTCATGGAAGGGCTGCTCTGGCCTGGGACTGGAATACCCATTTCCTGGAGGGACAGCAGGAGGCCCCCAGTCGGAGCAATATGAACCTTAGAACCTTCCGTGAGTTTTGTGGGCTGTGCTTCAAGTCTGGGGGGCCAAGAGCATCCTGCGGAGACAGTCCAGGATGCAGTTCCTGCAGCCTCTGAGAAGGGGGGGCTCCTAGGCTGCTCGGGGGTTTCTTGAATTACCAAAGGCTAAGCCTTCAGGGATGGTTCTCAGCATCTCTGCTCCTTCTAGCCACCTAGAATATGTGCTTGCAGCCACAAAAGCTTCTGGCAAAATCTTAGACAACAGCAACTGAAATAATTTTGTACCAAGGACAATAAACAGCAAGGGGAAGAAAAAAAATCACTTATGCTGGCAATAAAAATACCACTACAGCTTTAAAAATACCATTCTAAAAATGACACACAGCTTTTTAAAAAAAACGCAAAAGAGAGGTAAGGCATGTTTTGCATCTAGTCCTTAAGTTCAAGCTATACTTAGATGGAAACAGATACATGCCCACTTTATGTAGTTACTGTTACTGGCCCTGCCCATTTTTTAGTCAAGAGTCAAAGAGTGGCAGATTTGTATGATTCAAGCTAACCTCTCCTTTACTTTTGCAAACTATGTGATTTTCTGCTCAGACCAGGCAGGGACTGCCCTGTGGGGTGACTTACAGTGGAGCGGGCGAAGACAGGGTTTTCTGTGGCCTCCACGATCACTTGGTGTGCAGGGCCCCTAGTGCCCTGCTGGGCCTCATAGTGCCGAAGTTCCTCACTGATGCCTGACACTGTCGTCTGAGAACTGTACTCTGAGTCAGAGGAGTCAGACCCGTTGTTCGTGTGACCAGGGGGCACGGCAAACCGGACCACGCTGGGGGGCGGCTCGGGGGAAGGGGTGGGCAACCGGTTCAGCCCATTGGCCGGAGACACCTGTTTAAGAGGATTCCATGTTAACAGTGTTATTTATTTACCCGTTGGCCACATTCAAAGGTCAAAGCACAGTATAATTCAGGGGTCTCTGCCAGCTCCCCCACCACTCACACTAACTTGCAGTCATCCCCCAACCCCAATCTATCACTTTGGGGATCCTCCAGTTTGACAGCTGGACTGTGCCCTTTTCACTCCGGTTTAAACCCAGATAGTCATCTTGAGTGGAAAGTGCTTCATCAATGCAGACCTACAAGATTCAGGCTGCCAATCACTTGGTTTAAGAAAAGATGAACCAAACAAGAGCTACATCCCCAAAACTATATTAAATGGAAAAGGATAAAAAGCCCTGGTTATTGAGATGTTTATTGAAAAAGTAAACAATTAGCAGATGTGGATATAGTTAAATATCTAAATTAAGAGTGACACCAGGAAAAACAGCATTCAGGTGTACTGTGGATGACACATCATGCCTGACATAATTACTGACCTCAGGGTACGGTCCAAAGAAGGACAAAAGAACTGGAAGCAAAACCAGCCCATTGAGAACACCCAGGATCGTCAGGATTGCCAGGACAGCAAAGAAATACCTTGAAGATAAAAGGGGAAGAGGACCATTTACTGTGACAAAAGTAAATTAAGCTACCCTTCAATGCCTAAAGATTGCAGCACATCAAAACCCCAAATTAACAAAACCCACAACGGTGAAAAGGCTGTTACAAAACTGCAGTTCAAATCTAGCAAAAGATTAGTTTAGTTCTTTTTCTTTTTTTTACCTTGTGACTTTGAGGACTATATTCCACAACCCATAGTGTTAGTTCATGAAGGGAAGAAAAAAAATGTTTGTTAATTTACTGAAATCTCATGGCATGTAATGTTATTTATGAATGTGTTACACAAACACAAAAATATGGAATGTGAACTGAATGGCCGAGCAGACTGAAAGCACAAATACAATGCAGAGGGGCCCCGTCCATGAAAACCCAGCAGAAGCAAACAAATGAAGTGAAGGGTGTAGAATTTAAACAATTTAGCCCAGAAGGAAAAGCGGCCCACTTCTGCAGGCAGCTAATCCACTGTGAAATGCTTCTGCATCTTAGAGCAGAGGCTCTAATTAAGTCTCCAGCGGATCAGGTAAGGCTTTCCCCGGGCTTTTATTAATCACAACTTTCTGCCTAGAATTCTGTGAGTTCCCGTTTTACCATATAGCTCCCATTGCAACCTTTTTAGAACAGAGAAACCAGCTTTCTGCAAAGAAAGCTCTGCCCGTTCTGTGGGTGCAGGGCATCTGCGGGGGAGGGCAGTCCACAATGGCAGGCTGCTCTGTGGGCCAATCTTTTGTTGAACAATTTAGCATCTCTGAATACTCTTGTTTTGCGTCAGCCAATTCAAACATAAAGGCCGCAGCACCATGAAGAAGAGGAGAGTGCACGAGTGGCCTTGCTTTCCCACCACTGAGGGCTAAGGTCTGGGATCTTTCATGAATACCAAGGTAAACCTGTCAGCTGGGAAGACCCCAGGCCCACACTCCTCCACACAGCTGGAGGGAGTGGGCACCACAAAAGCACAGCCTCTTTTCCTAACTAACAATTTCTAGGGCGATTCTGCTGGAAGCAGGCTAGGTTTCGGGTAGATGTTCTGGGAAGAGGAAGGGCAAGATATCTGTTAAAGTTCTTTTTGATCATAAAACGGAACAGGCACTAAACTATACCATGTCTATATATACTTTGACATTAGATGAAAGGAGAGTGAGTCTCCTATAAAAATATAAATACCTCACAGCTATTGTAAACACTAGAAACTTCTGAGCTGCATTAGTAAAAACCAAGAGGCCAATGTCTTGCTCTAATGTAAACTGCTGGAACTTTAGGTGGAGGCATATATCAGCAGCAGGCATTAAGACATTTGCATCCCATCCATCGAACTGTAGAATAAACAGACCAATTAAGATTTCTGACGGCTTAGTGTATACAATGTCTGCTCATTTAGTGGACCTTATTGAGGGCTTTATCTGGTTAATCCATCCAGTTCTAGAAAATGGGAAGCTCTTTTAAGTGCTTGAAATAAGAACCCTGATATCTCTGGGAGAGAACAAGAAGTCACAGGTCAGAAGACAACTGGGATTCTGCCTTCCAGGGTCCCAGCTGGTTGTGCTAACTCAGGGTAGACTTCCTTCTGTGGCTCCCTCGGTATCCCCCACAAAGTTAAAACATCCTCCAAGATCCTGTCGCACCCTCTTTTTCTCGTATTTTGAATTGTGTGTGAACTTATCTCTCCCCTCCTAGAGGGGGGGAAAGGGGCCCTGGTATGCGCTGTGTGCAAAACTGCCTTATGAGGTACTTGTTACATTTGTATTGAATGAGAAGTTATACAAAATAAATTCTATTTGACATAGAGCTTTAACTCCATCAAGGGACATGTACAAATGTCCAAATAAGTGTATGCGAAGGGAATAAAGGAAAACTTCGAGTCGAATTAAGAGCTTAAAATAAAACCTAGACAGGATTCAAACTGTGACCTAATCCAGACATATTGGTACTGGCAGACAAGAATATACTACACTAAAAGGCTTGCCAGGTGATCAACAACTGTGTGGAGGCCATCAGCCTGGGCATCACCCGGGCACTGGGAACCGGTGAGAAATAGAGACTCCACACCACAAGGAAACCCAAAATGCATTTAATAGAGCCTCAAAGGACTCATGCGCTCATGTACCTCAAAATGGTTTTGAGAAAGACTAGCCTACATTATAATAGTAATATTTATTTCACCTCTTTACTCACCCTACACCAAAACTTCAATGAGCAAACTCTGGTGCTCAATCTAGCAGGCTAACTCTTCATGGTGCTGGAATGCCCAATGGGGTATGTCACATACCAATGGATTAATGCTTTTTCCATAATAAAGAAACTATGGCTAAAATTAAAGCTAAAAGTCTTTTTTCTACTTGAAAATGGAAGGTCTACTATCATAGATACACACACCAGGAAAGCCTCGATAGATTCTTTCTCCAGATTATGGAAGCTTCCCAAGAATCCAATCATTTCTCGCTTTTGGTTATTTTGCCATGGTTCTAATTCTGACTATCTTTTTTACTTGCTCCTCCAGTTGTGTCACAGTCAAGAGAAGCTACTTCATAAAGTTTCAGAGGCTGTTTGGAGAAGAAAACAGTCTTTCCCTGCAGTTCTCAAATTCTTTTCAAAAGAAAAGCTTGTATTCCTTTTATGTTTCACAAAGTCACATTCTTCATTAAATTCACCAGAAATTGCTTACTCTAAGGCCCAGAGAAGTATCCAAAACAGGCTTGGATTTTTAAAATTTGACACCAAATACACACATTAAATGCTTCCTAAATCTTTGGGGGAATAAGAGTATGAAATTTGGGCACATTAAAAGAATAAAATATAGGTGGCAATTTTACGCATTTGTAAGTTTTCCTTTCTATAGTTCTGAAAGAGAAGTGATGGTCAAATTTGTTCAAGTAATGAGGACCAGGGTCATCTCTTCCTAAAGATATTTCTAATCTGGAATACCAATAACTAGGAAATTGGGTGGTACTTCAGTTTCAAGGTGACCTTTACTGCTAGCCCTAAGCTCCCCATCTTTTCTCTTTAAGGTACTGCCTAGAGCAGTCATAGAAGGGAGTTTGTCTTTATACCCCTGAGTGTATCTCTGAGTTAATAGAGCTACCGATTGTGGTAATCATTGCATAATGTATTTATGAATATCTTAACACCACATTATAACCCTGAAATACAGAAATTTTTGTCAATTATATCCCAGCAAAGCTGGGGTGGGCATAAGAGCAGAAAGACAAAGAAGACATGCTGCAATGTACCAGATACAGAGGCAATAAGCAACAAAAACTGCATGAGAAAATACTAGTGATTTTTAAGACAAGTCTTCCCTTTTGTTCCTGCTTACCTGACAATGAAGTCAAACTCGGATCCTGCGAGCATCAGCACTCCCAGCAGAGTGGAAACAGCACCGTCCAGAACAGGTGCAAACATGTGCTCCAGGGCAAGCACAGCCCTGCGGTTCTTATCGCCGATGGCTGTTAGAAAGGCCTGTGTAAGGGAAGAATTCAGATGATCAGACAGCAGATTCCTGGACTCCACCTGGTCAGTGTGAGTTTTGTCTTAAATGCAGTGAACTGCTTTCTTCTGCCTGTACAGAGCTTCTCAGGTCTTCCTGTGCAGCTATGGGAATGTAGCTCAAACTAGCCAAAGCTAGATTACACTAAAATGACCTGTTCATGAGATTGAGGCATATTTGATGTTGACGTAAATCTTGAATAACAACAGATGATAAGCACATTCACCTTCAATTGAAAAACAGCACCAAAACTATACATAAGTGAGTAAAAAATACTTTCCACTGCTACTCATCCTCATGTTTTCTCCCCCACCCAAGTGATCTTCCTCTTCTCCTATCCAGTTGGCAAAGGGACGGCATTTTGCCTGATTTTTCTGATGGTCAAGATCTTGTTTCCAAATGGGCCTATTTGCTCATTGTTCTGTGCAACTGAGTGCTAATACTTATTTTGCTCATGATCATGCTGAAGTCAGAATTTCCATCACTGTGTTCAAACAAATGTGTTTTAGTATGTCTAATTATCACGAGGGTTTCATGAGAGAAATACAGGACTGTAAATTCAAATCAAGGCTATTCTAACTATGGGTGGGTATACCCCACCTCCCTTGCTTCTCTGAAGTTCCTTTACATCAAGAATATTATTGATACCATATGGGAAGAGTTTAGAGTAAGTCTTGGAATAACAGATTATGGGTTCTAGAATATGACCCAGACTGTTTTAATGTTTTACTGTTAGACCCTACCTGGTTCAACAGTGGGACCCTGACAGGGAAGCCTGAGTTGGGTACAAATTCTCTCTCTGCTTTAAAGGCCAGGCTATCCTGGGATTTGGGCTCAGAGATTTTGGACGTTGTAGCTCCTTAAAAATCAAGGCCTAGAGTATGCTGCAGGGTGCATGCCCATCCCTTATTCCCCTGTGTGAGGACAGGAAGGTTATTTTTAATGAAGATATAGAAGCAGACCAAGACATGCTACGAGTTTTCAAGCTTTTCCCTGAAATGGGTCCCATGTACATGTATGCTCTTTTAGAGTTGGGATTTCAGGATCAGTATATTAGCCCTCTTTCTCTTGGGAGAAAAACATCATGATGGTTTGAAACCGTGATGCTCAGTGCTTAGTATTGGGACCAAGAGGCCATAAAGGTTGGGGTAAGATGATCCTCTCACAGACAACATCCATCATGGACTCAGTGAACCGACAAGAACACAATGATTCTTTAAAGATGCTCATGGAAGAAGTCCATTTCACACACCTTACTCCATCATTTTACAATACTGTAAAAGCAGTAACTGCCCACTTTAAGGGGACATTCACATAGAGGGCGGAGTAAGAAAACTCAGCGCTACTTGGACAATTGGTACTGAGCAGGGGTTAGAGCTACAAAATCAAGTTGGCTCTTGAGGCTCCTTAAATTCTTGGAAGCAAATAGTACATGAATAATAGAGACATTCTTAATTGTTTATTCACCACTGGGGTGGATATTTATGTTGATGCTACCAGCAGGACCCAGGGTGCAGCTACAACTTAAAGACAGTAGTTAGCATTTGCAATTTGAAAATCTTCTCTGGGATGCACGTATTTGCAGTGCTAGCTACCAGAAAAAAAAGAAAAAGTGATTTTCATTGCATCAGATAAAATGACACGTAGATTCTTAATTTAAATGCCAAGTTTTCTCCTTTCTGAAGAAATATTAGATCGATGTGTTTTTTAAGCTCTAGGTTGGTAAGCTCTTCTTTTAAAAAAATACTCTTTTCTTTCTCCCAGATCAACAGGGGAAAGGAACTCAGGCATGTTCAAAATTTAGAGAATACTGTGTCCAGAGTATCAGATTTTTAGTGTACACTAGTGGAAAAAATGGGAAGGGGAATGGGATAGCTTAAAAAAAAAAATTCTTTTGAAACACATTAGTCTACAAATTGCTAAGCTGTATAAAAATGGCCCAAAAAGAAAGACTCCTTGTAAAGGACTCCAGCTTATGTGTGGATACACCACTATCATGTGTTAAGTCTAAAGACTCAACACTGAGATCACAGAAGCAAGGCTAAAAGTAATTAGCCGCAAGTCCAATGCTAGGTTTCCAGCCAGGCATTCCAAACACCAGTATTTATTCAGTCAATAAATATTTATTGAATGTGTACCAATCACCCCCAAAGACTTGGCTATAAGCACAACTGCATATGGCACATCATTTACACATAATTTATGAGGCTTTTGAACAAGTCCATGATAAATGTACACAATGAGTTTCTCTCAGAATCCTGAAGCTTAGCTTCCTCAACGAAGCCTTCACATGACTGGGCATAGAAAGAAAGAGGGGAAAACATTCCTGTTTAGTGCAACACTAGTTCTCTTACTTTCTGTTGTCATGAATTTGGAAGCTGGGAGGTCGAAAGCGCTGGGTGGGCTTATGGGGAAGAGCCAGCTCTTTGGCAGTGAGCACCTGGGCCTTTGCTCATAGGCCTCAGGGTATTTCCTTGGCTGCCAACTTGCCTCACCCTCAATGATGCCATCTCTACCAAGCCTGTGAGTGTGGTCTCATTTTATCCCTGGCTTTATTGCTGTGGTTTTAAAAAACGGAGTGATTTCGTGCACACATCTGCATAAGTATAAACACACACACAGACACACACACAAGCCGTCTCAGAAACAAAACTGACAACTTTAGGACCCATGGCGATACTAATGACAATACCAAATAAGCAGACTTCTTGCCCACTGACAACACTCCCTACTGCTGTTGTGGACCATTTAACTTTCACTTCTGATGCCCTTCTCAGACTTCCCAAGAGGAGAAGAAGTCCAGTTAAATTTCAGTCCCTCCCAGGGAATGGTTATGCTCTAGACTTTTTGCTGTGATGTGTGCCGGGTGTGTTGTCCCTTGAATGGATAAAATTAAAAGGTTCCAAACTTAGAAGCTAAAAGAGCTACAGGAAATATGCTGCCTATTAACAATGCTTCTGCTGCAAACGTCTCCCTACCAAAGCCACGTGAACAGTGAATTCTACTCCGATGCCGACAGATGCGATCAGGATGACTACAGGCACAGCACTCAGCTTGATTCCAATGAGGCCCATCATGCCGAAGAGTTCCACCGTCATTAGAGCCAGGACTGTCACCTTGAAGAAGAAAAAGTGGGTGAGATGCTGGACACAAACACACTTTAGGTTTTGAAAACAGGGGTGTTAGAGAGCTAACATGGCCTCACTTCAGATCTGGCACTGAGAAAGACCTGGAACCCAAATACAATGAGGGTGCTGATTTGCCTTAACAACTGCTTTTACTTTCTCATGTAACATCTCCGTGCTGGGAAAGGAGTCTCTGGGACAACTCTGGGATAAGTGAGGCTGAAATACATAAAGGCAAAGAAAAGCCAGTACTCTACTGTAAGGTGCTTAATATTCCTACTCTAGCAGGCAACAAAAATTCACAACTATTCCACAACTATTCCAGCCAGCTACAAAGAATCACATAAACTGGGGTTTGTTGCTAGATACACATTTAACCTAACATAAAGCAAGGTATTTCCTTCTGTTTTGATCTTAGCCATCCTCTGACTTATAAGTAAGCTGAAACTAGAGTTTTTGATTGCTCACTCTCTATTCTAAAGAAGTGGAGAGAATGGCATGTATATCTTTTTTTTTCCCCTTTCTTTTTTATCTTTTACTTTTACATAAAAGTAACCATGCTTTTGCTTGGAGAGCCCATGGACTAGTGAGGATGACTTGGGAGCAAGTTAAGCAGGGAAACACGGGAAGAGTGGTCAGCTGATACAGGTCAGGTTACAACCTCTTCACTTTGAAGAAATGTGGAGCAAGTGGGATAGACACAAGGAACAGTTAAACTCAAGGACAAGCTTTTTGTTTGCCTTTCATGTGCCTTGTAAAATTTTTCAGGGAAATGGAAAGAAAATCTGTGCGGTCAACTCTGGAGTTGCTTGGGCCAAAGGGGAGAAAATACAAACAAAACAATAAACTTGACACAGATGTAAGAGAAAGAGAGAATGAGTTTTCCTCTTTGGGGGTGGAAATGTGGGCAGTGGCGGGAGGGAAAGACAAGTATAATGAAAGTTTCCTTTCCTTTCTTTCAATAAGCTAATGAAAGATGGACAACATCAATTTCTTAAGGACCATGAAAACTCCTACAGACTAAACATTTACTTTTTAACATACCTGCTATATACAGACAGTTATGGTACAGAAACAAGAACTGGTCTGTTTTTATAATTTTGGCATTTTGAAGGCTATACCACAGTTCATGGAATTTTAAACACTGCCATGATTTTATTAGGCTATACATGAAAACTTACTTAAAATCTGAAAGTATTATACTTGGAGAAAGGATACAAAAAAAAAAACAAAAAACAAAAAACATTAGTAACTAGTTTTTATCAGTTCCCCAAAGAGTTAAAACACACCCCAGAAAACCATTTCATCCATTCACCACTGTCCTAACTTTTCTAATTATCCTCTGCTTAGAAGAACTTCCTATATATTAGGTCTGAGATGTAGTCACATAAAAACACTTAAAAAAATTAGGTATGCTCTGAGTATTTGTATTTAATAAATGTTCAGAGCTATTAATGGAACATATGCTATCTTTACACAAAATGTTTAAAGCTGTAGGAGAGGGGACACAAAATTAAAGCCATTAAGGACTCTACCTAACCATGAACCTTCCCACCTCGAGCAGAATAAATATAGTATGGAATGATGCAATCTATACCCTCCTCCAGAGGCCCAGACATAAACAAAACTTCCCGCCTGTAGAAAGAGCTATGCTGAAAGGAATTTGACTTCCACAAAGACCCTTAGAATAAACTTACAATGATCCCAGCCGTCCAGGGGTTCAGGAGGAAGACAGCACAAACCAGAAACGTGCAGGCCAGCACCACGCTGATGGACAGCAGGAGCCAGTGGCGGAGGCCAATGTACTGCTCCCAGAAGAGGAAGGGGTACCCGTTGGGGTAGCTTGAGAGCCCCAGGCTCGTGTAGTTGTTGCAGATGGTTCGGACTTTTTCGATCGCTTCCACAAAGTCTGAGGTGTCACGCAAGCCATTGAGGTAGAAAGGGAACTGAGCATATTCGATGGGCTCTGCTGCAGGGACTAGACAGAGAAGCAGTGGGGAAAGGACACGTTAAGGGACTCCTTGTAAAACTGAGAAAGGCAAATGGTGTAATTCCAGCAGGAAAGAGCTGAGACACATTCTCATTGTTGGCGAGATGTTGTGTCCCTCAACTCTCCACAACTGCAAAGAACAGAGAACGAGAACTCTGCAAGGAAGCCCACGTCCTGCATTTCTTTCAACATAAAGGACAAGAAGTACCGATGATAGTCACTGGGTCTCTGGTATTTTAATCTTTGATTTAAAAAATTTTAACATTAATCAAGCTTTGATTTTCTTTCTTTGGTGGTAGGGGGAGCCTGTGATCTGTTTACTCAAGCTTGATTTAATCTTCTAGAAGCAGTCACTCTTTGTAATAGGTCTAAACAACTTAAGAATGAAATTGTGGCACCAGTTTTTGTTCAACTGACACAAGCGAAAATACTAAGTTCAAACTGCTTTACTCAGTCACTTCTGAGAACAAAATAACTCAAAAGTCATGCTTTGCTGAGAAAAACGCTTAATTTTCTTATCCTTTTAGGGATCTAACACACTTAAACCTTCCATGCTTCTTTTTTAATGCAATGCTAAGTCTTCGGCAGCAGGGGAAGAAATCCTTACACAACAAGCATTTAGTTACTGCCGTTGTGTGTTCCAGACCCTTTGGGGTCATTCAGTTGACTTGCTAAACATGATTTGCCCTATTATAATCTCAACTATAAATTTTCATTAAGACAAGCCTTGGCTGCTTGCCATAGGCTCTGGGGTTTAGAGACAGGGAAGCATAACTCACTTGCTCTCCAGTCACACCGTCTTCTTTCTCACATCCTCCCCTGGCCTAATCAGCAAGGTATAAGTTACTAATATCTCTAACATAGATGCAAATTCAATCCACACAGAACCACCACTCAAAGTCAAAGCTGAGAGGACAAAGGAAGAGGACGCTGTTGTATACAGATTTTTCTGCTCTGGTTTAAACAGCTTTGACAGAGTACAGGTGCTTGGTGGCTTATAGGAATAACCCAATTGCCAAAAATCCCTTCAACACCAGAGTTGACAAAGTTAAGATAAACATATAATCCCCAGCGATAAAACTCTGTAATAGTAAAATAACACTCAACCTGGAGGCGTCCCCAACTTTCATTTCACATGGAACAGCTGGCATTAGAGAGAGAAGCCTGGTGGACGTCTCAGAGTTAAAACTACAAACTGTGATTAGACTCTTATTTCTCAGTGTGATAGAGCATAGGTTGTTCTCCATTACACATCTTCATCTGTCTCCCAGAGTTTTAAACTAAAAGGAATATATTGTTCTGTTTACACTTTTGAACCCTGGCTAGTGTCAACGAATGGGGGTGTGAATGAGCATTAGAGAGTAGGGTAGGTGCCTCTCTGTGCTTGCAGGCTCCTGACGGAAGGCTACTTACTTCTCAGCCTGGTTTCTGGCATGTAGTCAGCTTTGTCGTGGACCCACTCCGGACGGTGAGGCCGGATGTTGGCCTGGGAGGCTGCGTAAGCCACAGGGTCATTGCTGACCCAAGCGGTCAGGTAGATGTAGAAAGCACTGGGATTAATGATGCCATCTGCATCCACCAGGCGCCGTTTAGTCAACTGCAAAATGGGAGAACAGGGGCTTTCAGAATGGGGTTTGGGGCAAACACACTCCTCCTAGAGAAAAAAAGAAGCAGAGATTTTTTGCACTGGCATTTGCAACAAAGAATAGAATGCCCACTGTTTGAAAGTGTAGAAAATCCTATCAGAACACCTTTGGTTTCTTTCAAAATGCACTCATCGGAGGATGCAATAATCAGTGTGTTTATAAAAAACACACAGTTCTGCAGATGGCCCAGGAATTGACTGAACCAATTAAATCTGAATGCTAAAAGAGTGTCTGCAGCCAAGGCGGAGAATGAACAATCTGGAGAAACATATTTATAGGAGGGGAAGGGGGGAAAACCTGGCAAGAATCCCTGTACACGTCTGTGTGCAGTTAACCTCTGTTGTTAACACTGAAGGAAATGCCACCCAGTAAATGGAGGAGAGCTATAAAAATAAAACAACATCTGTATAAATTTTGCTAACACTAGCCTCCTATGACCTGTGTATTCAAAAAATGTCCATCGCCACAAAGATAGGGGAGAGCAGAGCTCACTACAGTCTTTCTGAGAAATCTGATTTCTGAGAGGCCTGGTCACATTCATGATGCCAAGTCCTACGCATGCTCCAAACTACACTCCTCTAATGTAGGGTCTTGTGGGCTTTGCTTAGGTGTAAAATTGTACGACACACACACATTCTCTCTCTCTCACACACACAGACACACACACACGAACACACACACACTCTTTTCCTGTTTACTTTAGATTCAGGCCTAGTTCCAATTCTTTTCCTTTTTTTTCCTCCTTTTTTAGCAAAATGAAAACACCAGTGACAGCAGCAGTTAATAGAGAATGAAAGAAGGAAGAAAGAGAGGAGGAGAGTGAGAGAACTAAATTTCAGGGATCTGGAGTCAATTAATCTACAGGATATGTAACAATTGTATGTCTTCAAGTCATCCCTGGGATTACCTAGCATGGCTGGCCTTAGTGCGTGAGCTGCTCTCCCTCCCAGGCAGAGGAAATGATGTCCAGGGCCTGGCCCAATCACACGTGCTCCTTGGTGTCCCTGGCCCCTAAAGCCAGCTCTATACCTGGACTTCCCCCCCACCCCCCAATAGCTCTCAAACAGGCACCTCTGCTCACACCTTTGTCAGTCCTGACAGCTTGCCGCATGTACTGTAAAGCGCCATGTTTCACTCCATAATAACTCTGAACAATGTACTTTGTAAATCTGTCACCTTTAATGCCAGCAAAAAAGGGGAGACGATAAACAGAGCTGCTGGAAAGATCATTAGCATGACGATTTTCTGCCTGAAGGTGAAGCAAGTAAGCTTTGTACAAAGAGCAGAGGGACTAGGACCTCGGAAAGCCAGTAGTACTGCTGGACTCATTTGAAACCAGAAGGGCTCAAACACACTCCCTGACATGCCAGAGAAATCAAAAGGGATATGCTGGAATCCCAGCATCACAGAGAATATGCAAATGCAGCTGGAGAATATGACTGTCAAAGAGAGCCCCTTTTTTTCCGGGAGTGAGCAGAAAGGTGAGCCCACTCAGATCCCATGGATTTGCATTTTTGGATGCCTCACTGATGACAAAGCAATCTGCTGTCCTCTTTCTCTACCCCGCGGTCCAGAGTGACCTAATTCAACAAATCTCGAACACCTCAGTAACTTCTCCTATCTCCTAACCCATCTACCCACCTCAAATTCTGTTCATTCAAATGACTCGATGAATACATCTTTCCAAGTTTGAATATAATCAAGACCAACATAATAACAAGCACTAGAATACAAAATAAAACAATGTAATACAGCACTTCCAACATGTGAAATCTTACACTGCCTCACTGTATTCTGTTTGTGCTATTTGATAGAAGAGCAAACCCTACCCTCTGGCTTGCCTGCAATCACACAATTAGCCAGTGGGATGAAGTGCATTAAAAGCCAACTCAATATCCTTTCTACCAGCTTCAATGATCAGGCCTGCAGAAAGCACAGACTGGGGTTGCAGGCTTCAAAATGGCAGCAGCACCAAAGCTCTGCTTAATAGCACCCAAAACTCCCCTGGTGTGGGGCAGTGAGTGTACCTGACTGATGTCGATGGGTTTATCACGGCTGCCAGTTTGTACCAGGAGCTTGTAGGCAAGGACTCCATCATCTGATCCATTTTTGTAATTGTTTGGCATGATTTTCCCAGTTTCCCAGTCACTGTCAAATGCATCCTGAAGTCCTAGAAAAGGCAAATGTGTGTAATACATTATAACTCTTACCCAGAATCATCCTGGTGCTAAGTGGGGTGGGCTGAGCTCAATAAGCAGGACAAGAGAGCCAGACGTGAAGCCAAGCCCTTGGCATTCTACTTGTCTTCTAATTCAAGTTCAAGAGATACTGGTAGATTTTTCATAAATGAAACTTCAAGTTGGTAGTAACCATTGTTTCAAAGGTGGAAGGGGGAAAATACTTGTTTCTTGGCAGCAAATATACATGCATTAACTTAAAAAAAACACACAAACAACACTTCCCTTGTCTCCCCCATGACTACTCCAAAAGAAAGCGCGAGAAAGAGCTGAGAAAGGACTGACTGGTGGGTGAGGAAGACACACCATTCCCACTAACTGGGGCGTGTCACCGGGAGGTGCTAAGCCATGGGCTCTCCAACACAACCTGAAATCTCACTCAGAGGGGAGAAAACACATTCAAACTCCCAACTTCAAATAGCAACTCAGCTGCTTCTCCAGCTCAGGGTGAGTGAACACGATTCTGTCAATTTGTTCCATCTGTTTGACTTGTGGAGCTAATACAAGCTGTGGGATCGGCTGCCAGGTTGTGTAAAGATCACAGCCAACACCTATTCACTCTAGACTGTTCTCTTCCTCTTTGCCACCCTTACTCCAAAGAGGGGGTGCAGAGGGAGGGTAGGGAGGGAGCACGCTTGTGCACAGGGAAATACCTCACAGGGTAAATTTGGATCAGATTGAGAACAGGAAGCCACAGGCCAATACAAGGGGGCTCTGTGAGAACAGATGACAAACCACAAGCCCAGGGAGGGGAAGGAAAAGAGCTTTCTGGACTTGGGGGATGGGCGGACGCGCCAGCCCACCACACACAGCTGCGCTTGGCCTCTGTAATCAAAACCATCATTACAGACCTGATGGTTTGGCTACAGCTGTAAAGAGATAAGCGTGTTGGAAGAGAAAACAGGGCCCTGGTGACCCGACCTTAGGGTCTGAGTGATCGCTGGCGTGCACACACTCTCCTCTTTCCCCCTTTCCATAGCCCTGCTCCCCCCAAATCACCTCCCAAGTAGAACTTCCAAGCACCAGCGGCTGAGGAAACCACATCTTTGGAAAAAACTGCACATGCCTGGGTTAGGCATGGCTGGTAAGAAGGGAGCAGGACTTATTCATGTCATGACATGCCTTGAGTGACTTCAAAGATACCCCCTCCCCAAATGTGCTTCTTGGGGTTAGAAATGGGGGGGAAATAGGGAGTACAGGGCCCTTTTCCTGTCTCTGCCTCTCTTTAAAACAAGCCTTTCTTCCACGTTGCTGTGGACATTGTTTTTATAAGAACAATTTGGGGATGAGGACCATGGGCTCCGGGGTGGCAAGTGTGAGGGGGGTGGCAAGTGTGAGGGGGTGACAGGGTTGGGGGGACCACCAGCATGGCTAAGCTCCGAATTCTCACACAGACTTTTTCACTGCAAGGAGGCAAGCACATGACAAGCCACAGTGAACAGATGTTATTTTATTACCTAAAGCTTTTTTTCCTTCAATTTTTGAAAAAAATAAATAGAAGAGGAAGAATAATCTCCCCTCCCCAAAAGAGGCCTGGTCTGTTTTCCTCACCATGATAGAATTTTCATCACTTCATGGCTTATATGGAACTTTCAACCCTCTTAACCTGTTACTCCTAAAGAGGAGCTCATGCTCTTTGGTGCACTGAGTGAGCTATTTTACACTGATTGCCCTTCCTTTAATTCTTCCAACAACTTGGTAATAGAGCCCTATTCATATAATTGTTCCCACTTTAGAGATGGGGAAACTGAGGCTTGGAACAGTGAAGTAATGACCAAGGACCATCCATCACACATGTGTAGGGCTAAGCTTTGAACTCAGACAGCCTGACTCCCACTGACTTGAGCCACCCAGGTTTCAGACTATCCTGTAAATATTTGTTGAAGGCAGTAGAATTAACCTGGGTCTGACAGCAAATAACAGTGGCCCAAAAATCTAAGTGCAGTTCTAAATATTCATGTAGTAACAAAGGAAGAAAGATCCAATTTGGGAGATCAATCCCAGTGCCAGTTCAGCTCATCATTCTCACTGCTGGCTCCCTGGCATGCCACTCAGTCTACCAGGGATTCGATGATGAGCACGAAACAATCACTGACTGTACAGAGAAGTTGAGTTCTTTCATAACCAGTGTATTATTTTCTGAGTAATTATCCAAAACCTAGTATAACAATGCACACTGGCCTAAGTGAATGCACAGTAAATACATGATCCTGGACACAAAACAAAGGACAAAGATTTGCTTTCATGACCCCTTGGCCAACAATTTATGTTCCAACACATGTACACTGTAGGAAGGAACTATGACATTTATTTTATAGCAAAACATTCAAGTTTTTGGTCTAACTTTTCTGATTTTACTAAAATTTATTTTCTAGTGAAAAGTTATGAGCTCATTTATCCCAACTGACGATTTTTCCTTATTTGGGACCCTAAAAATAACACATTAACCTATACTTTATTAACCTATACTTAATTCAGTGTGAAATATAAATGAATACCATTTGCACATGACATGCACAGCATGGATTTTAAAAAAATCTCTATATTCGCCTCATTTGCATGCTTAAAGATGACACCTGGGATAATTTCTGTATTATCATTATGTATTTTTATGAGTTTAAAAAAAACCCAAAACTATTGGAATGTTGATAAAGATAATAGGATGATATTAAAAAAAAAATGAAGGTTCCCGCTTCCACCATCACTTAAAAACCACACAAAATGTTGGGAAGGAAAGCTGACATGAGGATAAGAGTGTTTCTGAGGAGGACATATTTCAAAGACAAAATCAACCACTCAGTAGGCCTGAAAATTTCACAAGCAGCCACGAGTCCCGGTATCTGGTCTCCTGTGTATAGGGCTCTGCTAGACCTTTTAAGATCCAATGCAGAATTTCAGGCTGGCTGGGACTCTAAATAGACCTCATGTGGTCTAGGTGGGTGCTATTTACTTAGCAACCAAAACATGATTCAAGTGCACCTTTAAAAAGAGATTCTCAAGTCCAACAGTTTTAGGTCTGTAAAGGGATGAAAGCATAGGAATAACTTACAATACACTAAAAAAGTCAGCCCTCCCCCCTGTCTGGAGACAATACTCCTTGCCCCCTCCCCAAACTCAGCCTAACTGTGCCATATTGAGCAGCCAAAGGAATGGCTGAAGACACTGAAATGATTCTACAATAACCCTCCTTTGCTCAGATGCTGGCAGGCAACTGCAGATCTCTTTGTCATTTGTGGCAAGTTATTTGCATGTCTTTGGCCAATGGGGAAAAAATGAAAAGAAGGGAAACTCAACTGTCTGGTCCTCTTTTGACTCATTATCCAAAAAATACTGTTTCCCAAACTACTGTACAAAATCAGACTTGGAACAAATTCAAGCTGATCTCACAAGCATGTTAAAAAATAGTATTAGTGTCATGTTGCTTTCTTTACCTTCCTTAAAAAAAAGTTTCAACCTGGCATACATGTATGAATAAAATTCTAGGAACACAAATCATGGCCAGAAACGATAGGGAATAATTTTCAATCAAACTCAAGTTGTTACTATTTCATACGAACTCACAGGGAAACTGGCAGCATAACCTTGATATTCAAGTGTATTGACTTAAGACCAAAAAAAGCACTTAAATCTGTGTTTAAACAAGCCTAATTAAGTGGGAAATTAAGACAATCATTGGATAACTTAAGCCAAAAAGTGTTGGGGGGCATAATTATTTGGGTATTTCAGTAAAAGCATTTTTGCTTGAATTGTGTGGATAATTATCTTGATTCTCCACTTCATTTTGCATGTGTCAACACAGAATAAATGAACAGATGTCCTTGAAATCACTGAAAACATTCATATTCAGGCAGCAGTCTGAAGCAAATTTAGACCGTTTTTTCCTTCTGCTGACTACCATTTCTTAGAAATATTTCTAAGGGCAAGGCATGAAGCTAAGTAAGGTATTTAAAACAGAATTTGATTATTCATGAAATACTGTGAGATGTGATTAAGCATTTATAAGTTTCCTTCATATGCCAACTCAAAAGGTGGGTCAAACTATGGAATTTTAAATTATATTCACTGATGATACAAAATCCACTGGCAGAATAAGCTATAATTTAGTAATGAGTCAGTCTAGAAATTCCATCAAAACTGATTTCACTTGGTTACCAAACTAAGTACCCTGCCCCCCAAAAAAGCACTGGCAGTATCTAGTCCCACATTTTACGACATAGTTTCCTATTTCCTAATGTGCACTCAAATTCCTACAGAAGTTCCTGAGTAACCTGCTTGAATTATATGCACCATTTTATAGGTAAAAATCAGATTTGGGAGGTTGCCCCAGAAATAGCATATGTAAGAATTTGAATCAACACTTAGAAATCAAGAAACATGTCAATGTTACATTATAATCTTACATTTTAATAAAACAAACCAAGGGAACTTACGGAAGTGAAAACACACCAAAGACCAAAGGGTGATTGCTTAGGAAGGACAAAAGCCCCGCAGCATCTTACCTTGCAGCCAGTCTCTGAAGTAGTGCAGCCACATTTTGGGAAGCTGTTTATTTTCTTCCAACATGACATACTTCACATTACTGAAACTCTTATGGAGATCATACAGTAAGTGCTGGATATTCGGGTAGTCTGCTTTCTGGGTGACTATATACATGTTGTAGAAAGAAAAGTATTTGAACTGTGCAGCAATAAAGTCATATTCTCTGGTCTCCCGAGGCACAATGTCTGTAAGATCCAGCCCATCGCGCACTCGTGTGGTCCCGTACAGACTGACTCCCAGCAAGCCCAGGAAAAGGAAGATCACGACCACCTGCAACAGAACAAGAGGAAAGATCAGATTCAGAGGAACAGAACCAACAAAGACAAGTTATTTGGTTTACACCTGACTTTTACCACCACACTGGTCTGACACAGCATCGAGGGGTCATTTTCTCAACGGGAAAGATGTTTAATCACAGCAATTACATTTCATAAACAAGCTAATGAAAAATCAAATGTTGAAAATGTAAGGAGCTGATCTAAATTCACAGAAATGCTACATAGACATTCATTCCTACAGACAAATGAGCTCATGAAAATGGCTTCCTGCTCTTCATGGATGGACTCCTGAAGAGACCTGAAAGGTATCATGCATGAAAAAGCCATCTGATGAATTCCAAAGGAGCCTGTTATGTCATTTTTTGGAACTAGAAGGAGTCTCCTATTGGTAGGTTACCTTGGCTTTTGGTTTTAAGAGGAAAGGAGCATAGTGTTTCTCTGCAAAAGATGAGAGGGTCCACTTGGTGCAGGGGGGTTCCAAACAGTGGAGGCTGGCATCTGAGAACTGGGAGAGCAGGTCCCGGGTGGAGCTGGTACTCTCGGGGCTCTGGCAGCTAAGGGTGTCCTGGGGCAGGGAGACAGGCTGCACGGAGATCTCGGAGCGCGGCTCGGCAGTGGTGTAGTACACGTGCGTGTGGGGGTCGTACTCTGTGCGCAGCTGCACCGTGGACTGCATGGTGATCTGTGTTTCGTGGGCAAAGCTGTGGCTGCTGTAGGGAGGTGGGGGGCTGTAGCGGGTATTCTCCTGAGTCTCCGCGTAGGCCTGAGGTTCAACCTGAATCACCCTGCTGACACAGGGGCTGAAAGAGGGAAACACATCCTTAATGTTTTATTGAAACTTCATTTTTGATAGTGACTGAGCATATCCATTTTACATAGCTCTGATTTAGGAGAGAAATACTGTATCTTAAGTGCCATGAAAAATGCCTGAATTAAAACACAGTAAGTCACAGGAGGCTAGTAGATGGTAGATCCTAAATTTGGCTGAATCAAGTTACATGCTTTGAACCCCTTAAAGAATAATTCATAAGAGCAAAACAAGCAAACAAAAAACCAACACCTAAAGGGCTCTATTTTTTTGTAGGTGGGTATTTTTCAATTTTTGTTCTTCCCTAATCACAGATATAAGACATACTGCCTATCATCAGAATTGCTGGTTCACGATAGAAAAAATGATCATATGTACCAGAACCTCAGGGAAGTGAGAATGTTCACTTTGCTTGGGGGGGGCGGGGGGGGGGGGGAGGAGGGAACCCAGTGATTCTGACATCCCCCCAGGGAAACATTCTCTGTTATTTCCTCTCCCTCCAACACACTGGGATAAACCATGCTAACTGTATTCCCTTCTAAGCCCACAGGCGAGAGTTCTCAAACACTTCCACTCTGAATGAAAGGCACAACAGCCAGAAAATGTACCTGGTGAAACAGCAGAATATATCCAATCTCCTGTCTTCACGTCGGTACAAATCCATGCTGAGAATTGCAGGAAAAATGAGCAGAACCATAGCAAAATTGAAGACCACTACTACAGCGGCCTGGGTGCAGAAAAAAAAAATGTAAAAGTCATCAAGATGTATCCTGACAGCCAAAGGATTGCTTTGAAAATGAACATACTTTTAAACAACCTCTCCTACTTTCCTACTGAAGAGTTCAATCCTGAAATAGATGTGTTTCTCATCATTTTACTTCCTGTCCCTCTGACTGGACTAGGCCTTGCATTCTCATCCTTTCCATCTAATAATTCCATGAGCCCATAAGATATAAACATAGGAACTAAACTAGCATCTCAATAGCAATTTCATAAAACACAATCTACAAAAACAGAGTAGCGAACATATTTGAGATATTTTAAACTAAAACAAAAAGAAACATTCCCTTTCAGAACATTTCTAAGAGTTCATGCAGCCCTGATCTTGCACTTAGAAAATTACATATAAAAGTAGACTAAGTATATCAAAATGTCACCTTTAAAACATGAAGTAAAATTGCAAACATGTCCCCTGAGGTTTTTAATAGGCACATTCCAAATAGCCTCTGGAGGAACCTATGGGGTGCGCAGCACAGTAACATAAAAGGTCAAGGAAAGTTAAGCAGAAAGAAATTCCTGTGTGTGATTATAGTATGCAGAATAAATAAGTACAGATTCAAAAGTCACTCTATAACCTAGAATAAACATGGGGTTAGGTTCTGTAGTGCTTTGGCAAATCTCCTGCTGACCTAGTAAAAATTACACAATTGGGCTGTTAATGGGGGAAAGTCAACAGAGGACAGTTGAAAGGGCTCCCCGTTCAGAACGGCAGGGAAAGAAGCTACACAATAAAAAATGCAACTGGAATGCTAAGTAACCAAGAAATCATCAGAAAAAATTTTAAAAAGTATAAACTCTTAAGAGTTTTTTTTCAAAGAATTGCCTAGTTCTAAAACCTTCTCTGACTATAACCAAGAAAGCTGAACTATAACTGGCACTATCAGAATCAGAGAACTTTGCAAAGGGCTTTTAATAGTTATCTTGAGTTTATGCTTGAGATGAAATAGCATGTCTGAGTTCTGGAGCAATGCCTTTCAATAACTAATGCCCTGTCAAGACTACAAAACTGAAAACCACCAAGATCTCCCCACTAAGCTCTCCCTTCTTAGTCTACCTTGAAAACTGTTATCAATTCAAAATATATAAAATATGCTAACTCACTATTCTAACATATTAAAGCACTTTAAAAACTTGCCTCAAGTAGACTTGTTTTAATAAGCAAAATCACTATTTTTGACTTGAGGATTCAGTTAAGAGACAAATACTTTTAAAAAAGTGGGGATACTGTATGGGTTACTAGAGCTACAAAGATAAATAAAAGAAAATCCTGCTCTCAAGGACTGACATAGCCAGACCTATGAACAAATTACAATTCAGGCTCATAAATGGAACAAAAGCAGTCACAGGGCTCCTGAGCAGTTTAGCAGAGGGAGAGCATGTTTGTGCGCGTGCATGTTGCAGGTGGGGGTGGTTGCATGTATAGGAAGAACTGTATACGGTAGAGTTGTATATGTATGAGGGGGCTATGAGTGTGTGTACATGTATGGGGGTGCATGTGTGGGTTACTGGGGATGAGGAGAGGGTGGTCTCAGAGCAATGTTAAAGACAAAAAAGGACGCGGACAGGAATCAGGAGAAAGGTGCAGAATCAGGAGGAAATTCAATAGGCAATGTATTAGAGGACACACCCAGTGCAAGCCACTCAATACCACTGGATTTAAAGTTCTGCTGGGGGAAGAAGAGAAAGGAGAAATGATGGGAGATGAGGTAGTTACTATATGAGCTGTTCCATTCCTGCATTAATCAGGATAGATATTACTGCTATTGACACTGTGACCTAATAAAGACCTTATGAAGCAGAGTAAGGCCACCTGTCTGAGGCTACCTAGTAAATCCACTCAAATATAGAGGATGCCAAGACCCCAGCACAGCTGTGACTGGGAATTCCTGTTAGATCTGGTCAGCTCCTGAGAATAGGGACACAGGCAGAAGGACTATGACCAATCAGAGCAGAAAGACACCAGGAAAAACAGATCTCATTCCACAGGAGATTTTCCAGAAAACCTTTATTCCAGGAGTAGCATCCTTTCAGACTTTCTTTCTATTACAGTCATGTTTTCGAAATGGAATGCAGACAAGAAACTCTGGGCCTATCTCACTTTGAATAAAAGTTCCTGGGACCAGGGCAGAGACTGCAGCTACAGGCCATGTGGTGGCCCAAGTCTTCTGGCAAAAATGACACTGAAGCCTTCCACATCCCATAGAGGCATGTATCTGATACCAACCTTACCACCGGAGAAATTTAATGGGCATTAGGCTAACACTAGTGATGGGAAAGAAGGGATGACAGGAGAACCCCAAAACAGCATTCCATCTAAATGTACAATCACATGGTATATTATATATATAGGGAGAACATTCTGACAAGAAACTAACAGAACCTTAACATCCCCTAAAGTGCACCAAAATAGTGAAAACAAATAGCAAGGATTTCTCAGTAAGGGAGAAGTATCCCTGCACTGTCCATCAATTCTAATTACTGTGCCTAGAAAATGTCCTATTCCTCGCAAAGCATGTATGGTGGCCGTGCTGAGACACTTTCAGAGAGCAGAGATGAACCGACCTTGCCTAGGGGGCCCTAGTCTAAACTCTCTTACCATCTGGAACAATAAGGTGTTCTGTTCTGGGAGTTTTCATAGAAGAACAAACACTATTCAGTTACCAGCAAAGCCGCAGTGCGGGGCATTGGTTCCCAAAGAATTACAGACAGTGCCACTGCTTTCTGGTACAGAGGTGGCATTTGGACAGATGGATGTAAATTGACAAGGAGGTCTAAGACAGTTTCTTTGCCGGGGTAGGGGGGAGAAGATTTCCATTTATTGTAGGAAGGCTACAAAACTGGAAAAGTTCCACAGGGAAAAATCTGAAGGTAATGCGCATAGAATCTGTCTCTCCCTTTTAATGTTTAATCTGCAGGATCCTGAAAATATGAACACAAATGAATACCCAAAACCTCAACGGTTGGGAAGGGAGAGGGAAGCTATAGAATGGTCAGTTACACGTCAGTACACTTAAAAGGGAACCAGCATAAAATTCTTGATGGCTATTGCAAAAATCATTGTGTGCTCTTTTCCTTTTTTCTCTCATCTCATTCCACCACCCTCGCCCCCCTTTATGACAGAGAATGAGCCAGTGTGATGGGAAGCTGTTCTTTGATTAATGAGGACTCCTGGTAGCTGCAGATGTAATTATCTAAAGTGATCCTCTAGTGGCTTAGAACATAAAATGCAAAACCGACAGTACTCATTGCATCTCAGTAAGGTGCTTACCTTGGGAAAACTTAGTGCACTGGATTTTCTAAGAAGCGTAAGAAAAACTCATGCAGCTTTTCAGACCACCACACCATAAGGATATCATTAAAGAAGAGTATGCCTTGATGAATCATCAGTGTAGTACTGAGAGAGGAGAGGAGAGAATAAGAGAAAGGGACAATAAAAGAGGCGTGTGAGGCCAAGCAGATAGACAGAGAGAGAAAGGCAAGCAGGAAAGGCGAGACAAGGGAGACAGGACCCCACTGTCAAGACTCTAGAATAATTTCTATGTACCAGAACCTGCAGCTTATGAAATAAGAGTAGCACATCACAGGGCAGAATGGGTGTGTCCCTGTGCAGATAGGCATTCTGACACTTTAGTTGTGCCAATAGTTGAGCAGGCACCTTTTACTTATTTTCATATTAGTGAACAGTTAGATATATTTTTATTCTTCCTGTGTTTTAGTCCTAGTTTCAACTTTAACTTTATTCAGTATTTTTCTTTTGGGAGCTGGTAGCCACATCAATTGGTTCAACATCTTTTTCATGTTATAACTTACAGTAAATATTAAACAAGTCTAGTGTCCCAAACACAGTAGGATCATTAGTTGCTTAGGTCTTTGTAATTAGTGAAATGAAATTCAAATACAAAAATTGAAAAAGAGTTAAACATGTTGACAAAAATACAAATCTAATATATCTGTCATTTTCTTCTTGGTCATGGTCCTTAAAATCTGCTGGTAATCAGAAAGAGTAAAGCAGTATGAATAAGCTGAATATCACAACAGTTTAAAATGTGACACTGAAGGTCATCTCCTTTAAAAACCTGGTCACGAATTACCTATCACCTGGGAAGAAAGGAGAACACCACCGCTCCTTTAATCTTAGTTGGGAAACAGCTCTTCAGCTTGCATTTAATTCACAAGCTTCAATAAAATCTTTGCGCTATCAAACCCTAAAGCATTTGGGATTTAGGAAGACACAGTTTCAGCTGCAGAGCAATGGCAGTCTCCCGCAGCCCTCCTGTGGCATGCTTGTTCTTTTAATTCACAGAAGCTGGCTCTGTGTTTGGAAAAGCATCTTGATAGCCTCTAGATGTGAAAGGTCTTGGTTTGGAATGAGAGAGCAGAACGATGTGGGCGCCAAATTACCTTGCATAAGAAAAGGAGAGGGATTTTGAGTTTTCTTGGGCAGAGGAGTAGTGGACCGAAAGGAAAAGAAAACCAGAACAGAACAGAACAGACTGAGAAGGCTAACTATGCAGAGGTGGCAGGCAGGGGTCCGGCCAAGATGCCCACACCCCCAGACCCTGCAGGCAGAGGAAGGCCAGTGCATTCTCATACAGTGCCATCTAATATACAAGTTTAAGCTCTCACCTTGGGCTACACAGCAGAATTAGGGAGTCTGCTCTATACCACTGCCTTATATAGGGGCTACTCTAGGGAAGTGAAGAGAGAAGGTGGTGGGCTGAGATGGACAGCAGGAGGGGTGGTAGGCACAGAAACTGAGAGTGCGCATAGAGACAGGTTGCATGTGGATGCATCCAGAGGACTCCTGACTACGTGAAGTAGGGGCTTACTGGGGTCTCAAATGGAGTGTCCCAGTACCATTTTGGTTTAACTACAAAGGAAAGGGCAGCTCATTGAGGCATCAAATCTTGGGGATGCTTGCGCCACAGGCACCTAGGCTATAGGACTTGAAAGGAAGGAAAGAATCCTAAAGCTTTGTTATTCTAGGGAGCATAGGGTCGCTGCTTAAAAAGGCATTCAGGGCAGGTGCAGGTGGTTGAGCAGGTGGTTGAGCGCCTCGCTGTGAAGCTGTCTGCAGCCTCTGCAGCGCTGATGTGATCCCGGCCGGCCGGCCGGCGAGGATCCCACATGGCATGGCAGACCTCTCCTGTCTTGCCCGCTGCTCCCCTCAGCAGTGTATTTCATCGGCCTGCCTGTTCTGTTCCCTGCTCTGTCTCTAGTGAATCCTCTCACCCTCCCGTGCATCTGGCCTGTACCCCAGTTCTTGTATAAAATAAATAAATCTTAAAAAAAAAAAAGAAAGAAAAAGGCATTCACCCACGAGAGCCCCTAGGCTGGCACACTGCTTTGCTTCACAGCAGGAAGACCCTGAACATCAGGGAAAAGCATACATGGGAGCTCATGTCGGTGCAGTGCTCAGCATCACAGATCCCAGCTGCAGACACTCACCTGAAGGGAGAAGGCCCGCAGAGCAGGGATGGGGATTAGCGCAGCCATAAAGAAGGCGGTGACGTTGCTGATGGATGTGAGGGCCACACTGGCTCCCGTGCGCTTGAGGCACTCCCCGGTCCTGTCCTGAGGATGAGAAATCACAGTGCTGAGAGCTGCACAGATCGTGCGGACAAATCAAATGTGGGGCAAAATGGTTTACAGTGCTGACGTCAAGGCATGAGAAGTGCCTTACCCAATAACATGGGCACTGAAAGGGTTTTCACTGCTTTCTACATAGTCATGTGTTGTTCACGGTTAAACTATCTAAAGGAGAAAGTTACAAGATAATGGTTTAAGTAAAATTATAATGATTTAAAAGGAAGGGAGGTCCGTTAGGAACAAAGTGACAAAAAACCTCAGAGAAGCATGTGTGTGCTTTGAAATACAGGTCTTGAGTCTTCTAACTTATCTCTTACGCAGCATACTCTGACTTGAGACTGTAATATTTACCACACCAGACTGAGAAAATTAAAGGACAAATAGGAACAGAAGGGATTCTGGTTGTCCCCAAAGCTTTTTTCTTTTGTTTTTCTATTACCTCAAAAGGGATTCTTTTATTCTGTCCTGTTTCACTAAATGCGTGTGCCAGAAGGAAAACATCATCCACACCAACACCAAGAGCAAGAAATGGCAAAACCTATGATGCAAACAAAGGACAGCAGCATTAGACATGTAGGGTCCGATCATTCTAAACCCATCAAGAAAACAAGCCACCCGCACCTCCAGTAGATACCCATAGGAGAATTTCCATTAACTTATGGTAAAGAATTTCATTTTATCTGCTATTTAAATCCCCAAAGTCCAGCAGTTTTAGCTCACAGTAGGTCTTGTATGTCTCTAAGCTTCATATAAAATAGTTTTTGCTTTTTTTTTTTTTTTTTTTTAACTTAATGAGAAGGAATCTAACTCTTCTAAGTAATGGCATGTGACCCCTGGACCAGCATTGTTGTGAACAGGTGACAATTCAAATTCTCCATCTCCAGCCCAGACTGAGTTAAAACTCTGGGGGTGCGCCCAAGAAGCCCTCTAGGAAACACTAATGCCCACTCAAGTTAGAAAACCGCTGCTCCAACAAATGACCTAAATTCCACTGTAAGGGGAACATTTCTCCTGATCAACAAGCCCGTTCTGACCTCTACCCACTGCCAAGTGGTCCATTTAGACACAGCACTCTCCTGAGAAATGAGGCATCCTGGTGAAAGGCTTGTAGACCCGTTAGGTGACATGGACATAGGAGGCTGGCTGGGCCGAGCCCCAGGAGGGATGTCTGTCAACACACAGTGGATGGACAGCTCCTTTAGTACCTGAGTTGTTGCAGCGTTAAAGGAAATCCCGATCAATGAGCACAGGCCCAATCCTGCAGCCACTGACAGTGCAACCAACAGGACGCCAGCCAGCCCCACGGCACCCTGGGACTTGGAGCAGTCCCAGCGCAGCATGGTTAAACAGGCATAGGCAAGCTGCAAGCAGAACAATGGGGGGAAGGTGGGTTGGGGGATGAAGGATTCAAAGAAGGGAGAAGGGGGGAGGGGGGAAGACACAAAACAAAAGCCAAACATTAGAATGTGTAAGGATTCTAATGTTTTCCCCCACCCATCACCCCATATCAAAAGGTAGAACTTACCATATCCAACAACAAAAATTTTTATTATGGACACCACACAAATGATACAAGTCAAAGGTGGGCAAACTGCAAATGGGAAATGCTTTACACAACCACTCTGTGACCCGTTATGAAGCTGAGCTCCCGCTGTCTCAGATGCACGTGGGTGTTAAGAGCAGTTAAAAAGCAGGAGCGGTCATGGAAAGGTACAAAGTAAAAAGTAAAACAAAATGATGCCCTCCCCCAGAAGCAAAGGAATCATTACCATGAGTAGGTAGCCGCTGGCCACTCGAATGACGCTGACATCAGAGAAGGACTTCAGGATGTCGTCCAGGGTCGTCGTGGTAAAGGAGAGCACCTTCTGAGTAGAATTCTGGGCAACACTTTGATGAACCACCTGCAGTCACAACATAATGATAAAGTCCCCAATGGAATTAAAGTTTCAATGACCTTGAATAGCACAGACTCAGTGAAACATGCCCTTCACCCAAGCTCCACTTGGGTGACATGTTAAAAAGAATCCTACATGACTGGGGCGGGGGTGCTAAACTTGGACTAACAGTAAACAAACAAGCCTGGGCCTAGGACAATGAAGGCTACAGCTAAATAAGAACAAATCTGGTGTGTTGGGGAGCTGGTGTAATTGACATTCACTCCAAGTTCTTTATTTACACTACATCTGAGGCCACTGTTCTCCTCCCCATAACTCTACAACTGATTTCCAGTCCATCGGCTTCCCCTTAATCCAAAACAATTCCCCCTTACGGGCACTTCTCCCCCTTCATTTGCTGGCCACTTTTAAAAGGTCACATGCAGCTCAGTGGAGGTCACTCCTTGGGAAACAAAGGCCAGCTCCTGTCACATGACCTAACTAAGGGGACTGCAGCTGTGAACAGATTCCATGCCTTGCTAATGTTTTCCAGACACCTTTTCTCGCTAACCAAGTGTTTTTCAAAACACGGTTATGGTGTTCAAAACTGGCTACTCAAAATGTTTCAGGGCATCCCAGTTGAATGACATTATTTAAGACTTTCAATACCAAGGAGAGAGAGAAAAGTCTCACCCCAGAGTGAATGATCTGTTTTGAAAGTAAATTCTAATGAAAGAAAGTTTTAAGAAGTCATTAGAAGGCAGTATTTAGTAAGGAATTTGTACCCAGATTCCATGGTAGGAGTCAGAAAGGTGATGATTTACCTCCACATATGTCCTCTGCCAAGCTTCCAGGATGGCCGCTGCCTTGTCCTCATTCCAGTTGATGTGAGAGACATAGTCATATCCCTTGAAATGTTCATACATTTGCTTGGGTGTCATTAACTGAAACATGGTCTGCAAGGCATGGGCGCTGTGCAGGGTTGATGGGGTAGGAAAGACAACATAAGCACCCCCAGGAAGCAGCTCTCACTGCCTCAAGCCCCCAACTCACTCACAGCCATTCTATCCTTCTACATGAGCATGTTTCCATTAAAAGGGGACTTAGATGGCTATTTTATTTAGTAGACTGATATACCATATTAAAGGTGTAATTTTACAGACCTTTAACAGATATACTCCCAAATTAAATTAATAAGCAATTTCCTTTCTCAATTTCTAGTCAACAAAACAGGAAGGGTAGAGGCACAGATAGCCTGAGCAGATACGCCGGGCTCAGCCCTGCACACTGGCTTGTGTGAAGGCCCAAGGGAGAAACTGCAGCCTGAGAGCCTGACTCCTGACATAACAGAGTGCACAGAGCATGGGGGAGAATCTGGGTTTATTGGCCAGTTGCTGGTCTTGAACAGCCTGGGACAGGGTTTAGGGCACATTACTTAACTCCATATGCTATAACCAATGTTTTTTGCCAACTTTACCTTTGCCCTGGTTTCTACATAATGGGTAGGTCTCAACCCTACAGTCACTAGCTTGCTAAGGAAAACAACCTACTCTTGAAAAATTCCCCACAAGAGCTTTCTCAAGCTGTCTGACCTGCTAATATTTCCCAATACTCTATTACACCAGACAGTGAGCTAGGCTAACAGCTCAGTATTAATGGAAATATACTTGCAGATGTGGGAAAGGAGAGTGATTGCTCAGGAAAGGAAGAAAAATAGACAGCTGGGATTTTCCTCTGTGTGTTGGATTACCTGACAAGTTTCCCAGTGCTGTTCTTGACTGTGCCACCCACAATCAATTCTTCTTGCCAGTGCATATACTTTCTGGATAATCCATGACATCCACCATTCAAAACAAGGGCCATATCAAGAGGCTAAAATAAAAAGCCACAGAATTACAGGAACAAGTAAGCAGGTCACATGCCTTATTAAAATACAGTGTATTAAGGGCTTGTTTGCTTCCAAAAGAACATAAATAATAAGGCTAATTGAGAGGCATATGGCAAATCTTACAGGAAAATTTAGCCTTATAAACAAACTTAGTTGTGGATATTGAAATCTTAAAAATGAAAAGACTATACCTAAAAATGGGGAGAAACATCCCGCCTTCCTTCTGGCCCTCTGGAGAAGCATCAAGAACTGTACTCACCTTGGTTGCATTTTTATTGGGGGCTGTAGACGGGCAATCGGGATCAGCAGGATTGAGGCAGGGCCGGTCCATGTAACCATGACCAACTTCAGCCTTATTCAGCATTTCCTCCCAGCTGTCCACCTGATAGTTTATTTTCTTTAATTCTTCTAGGAATTCCAAAGGGTCAAAGTTTGTCCACTGCAAAGGAGGCTTACCTCTGTGAAAGAAATTAGGAGGTAAGACAATAAAAAGAAGCTTCCAAGCCCTTAGCAGAATACCAAGACTGCAGCCAGGTCACAAGAGACTGTTTGCAGCCCTGGCATGAAAAATGCTCCTTTGTGGCACATATGTATGCAAAACTATACCAGGAAAATAGCTCATGAGTGAACAGGGCAGCAGAGAGCTTATAAATTAATGACAGTGCCAAAGACTTCATGTGCCTGATGCTATGTTTATTACCTAAAACCAAAATTAGCCCATGGGTGCTTCTAAGCAGAATACGGACCTCCAAATGGGGGGGGGGGGGGAAGGAGAAGGAATCGCAATGTCAAATTAGCATTTGTCAGCCTAATAAATACTTTGTAAATGTCATCAATCAAAATATTTTATCTCCATTACCTTTAATAATCCCATACTTATGAGCTCTCTCTGACAGACTGGCAGTCAACCCCACCAGCCCCCTGCTGCCTCTGCCATCACCGCCATCAAGGCCACTTCCCCCACACTCACTTTTGAATTTGTGCTGTTGACAGACCAGAAAGGCTTTTGGCTGCCTGTTATGTGGTTCAAACCACACTGTAGCTGCCTAACCAGGCTGAAGTCATTATTCAGAATCTCCCAACCAGAAAACACAAAACCCCTTATTTCCCATCTAAAACTGTACACTGAAGGTCAGGGTATGGCCACTGCAAATTGCTTTTGCAGATACATGCAAGCTAGGACAGAAACAATAACCCAACCATTCATTCTGGCATAATTAACTGAAAATGTCTACAGTGATTAACAATTATTCTTTAAATGATGCGGTGTATATAATATCCAACTGCTAAACTGTGCTGCACCCCCTACCAAGGCCTTGACAGATATCGGCTTTCCCCCTTAAATGTCTTTAATGTGATCCAAAGAAAGGTTAGCATTTTACTTCATAAGAAGATCTTGAACTTTAACTCAAGATATTTAGTGCTGACATGCACCTACTAATAAATTCTTTCCGTAAAAAATAAGCTAAACCTACAAAAGGACCTGGTCTGCAAATTTGTGCATGTTTTAAAGAGTTAAAAATCACACATACTCTGAAATAATTTGCATTATATTTGCATATAAATAGGCTGGTAAAAGTGAATGAAACTTAATGATGCCTACAGAACTTTTTTTGCAAAGTGGAAAAACATTCTGCTGAAGCCCCCTTTCCCCCAACTATTCACTTTAAGAAATGCACATGAAATCTCAATGTTTTTATTCCTTACTCAGAACTAAAATGGAATAAGCAATGATAAAGCAGCATCAGAAACATTCTAGAGCTTAGAAATCACAGACATCAGAAAACACTTACAGTAGATATGCTGTCCCAGATTGTAACTTCGCCCCCTCCCAGAAGCAGTCCAAAGGTGTAATAATTAAACAAGGGTAAAGATATTCTATTATCTGTCAAAGTAAAAAAGAATATGTCACACTTTAGGTTACCACATACCAACAGGGTGGTTTGTTATTTTTTTGCAAACAAAAGGAAAACATACCTGATCCATGTAGCCTGTCTCTGTGATAAGTTCTCCAGATTTGTAACACAAATGTTCCAATTTCCACTGCCTATTAAAATAAAGAGCAGAGGCAAAAATTCCTCATTGTTATAAATTCAGTGCAAAATCATAGAACATATAGGAAGAATTGCAATTTCAATCACTCTTAAGTACCTGTCAAAAGGAGTAAATTTTTTGCCAAGTAGAGACCCTACAAGCTTGCTTTAATGAATAGATAATACTGGATTGCAATTAACATGTGGGGTGTTTATGTAAATGAATGCTACTAAAGTACTTGAAAAGTCTTGTTTTCTTAAGAGTTCTCCCAATAATCTTGTTTACACTATTAATCTGCCTTTCTACATACATTAACAAACTTCTGAGCAGATAATTTAGAGTTGAATTATCAGAAATTCAAAGCAAGTGAGGACAAAATTAGTAAGGTTTATAATGTATTAACATATAGTAAGGTGGGAAAATTTTTTATTGGCTAATAATACCCTTATTAACAGGTAGTGTTCACAATGAAATTTCCTGCTGTAAATAACACTGCCAAGTAGACTGAGTTACACAGTCTTCTAGTCAAGTTGTGTCCTCTAGAAATACTAAATGTGCTATCTCTAATTAACTGTATTACCTATCATCTGTTATTAAAGAGTTCTATTATCTCTATGAGACACAGACAAATGTCTATGACTTGCCTTTCTGAATATACTGTGGAGAGAGTCTAACTTAGAAAAAGAAAAAAAATTAGAAAGGGTGGAAATGGAAAATCCAAAAGAAAAAAAAAAAAGAAAAAACTTCACTTTCCAACTCACTCATCCACCTACCCACCCACCCACCCATCCATCCACCCATCCTTCTACTCACTCATCCTACCCACTCTCCATAGTCCACCCACCTCCATCTATGTATATATTTTAATTTGATATTGTATTCATACAGACTCTCTAGTATAAGTAGGTTCTCATTTATATAATTTGATCAATTCACTCTTATTTATGCTTGCTTGTGAAGGGCATGGTTGTGCATTACAAAAGCCATTGGACTTGAAGCTATAGCAAAGGTTATGAGGTATGAAACCTGGCAGTATTATTGAAACACTGTATTAACTTATATATATGCTCTAATTAATATCTAATTGCCAGTTTTCTCACCTAAAAAATGAAATGGGGTTGAAGTAAGTGTTTTTAAAGTTTAATCCAATGGGTAAAAATTCTCTGGTTGCACCTTAGTTCAAGAGTATAATTTCACTGTACAGACCCTCACATCTTTTCCCTAAGTGTGTAAGTGACAAGCTCCCTCACATGAGGGGTCCTGTTATCTTAAGAATGTAAAAAGGATTAGAGTGGCCCAGGAAAACCCATTTCCATCTTCTTTATAGGACCTTCTCTTGTAAATTTTGTAAAACTGTACTGGGTAGCTGCTTCCCCTACAGCATGGAACTATGCTCTGGCCTGACAAAGGTGCTAGAATATATCTCCTTACAACTTTCCAGAGCCCTTCCATACATGTATCTGATTTTGTTCTGTTAATCTCTTGAGGATAAGAGAGCACACATGATCATAAATCTAGTTTACAGATGAGGAAACAAGATTATGTTAAAGATATGTTCACTTGTCCCAGGCCATGCTGGTCCCTTGGAATCTGTCTCAAGCTAGACAGTTTGAGAGCTAATCCAGTTATGTCCAAGAAGAGCTAAGGTTATAGCATGAATAGGTAAGAGTCTTGAGTCCTTGTGGCCACTACCTTCCCCTATAAAGAATAAATCAACACATGAACTACTCAGTAGAGGTGTTTGAAAGCCGAGGGGGTGGGATGGTCTGAGGTAAATGACAATTTAGTGGTACCCTGGAAATGGAGCTTAATGAGAGCCATCTCAACAGTTAAGGGAGAAGATCCACTTTAAATCCATCAATCCAGGCAGTTAGTCAATCAACAAACACCCTGAGTGCTTGCCCTGAGCTAATGTTGGCATTCGGTATATAAGACCAGGTCTCGGCCCTGAAAAATGTAACCAATTTAAACAGACAAGAAAAAAGACTTAAGTTTTGTAGCAGAACTCCTCCTAGGCTTTTACCATACCCACAGAATTGGTACATTAGCTAAAGGGGAATATTTTGTAAAGACTGTGTAAAGGTGTGTGTGAATCCACTTTATTTCACCTACCTGTTGGCAGGAATTCACTATATTTGTTCAAATCCCTCCCCCTACCAGGGCCTTGTTTGTTCCTTTGTGACGCATATCAACTGTTAATACCTGTAGTGAATCTAAAGTAACATGAAGCAACTTTTCTTTTTTGCCTTTTCCATGGGTTGTAAGTTTACTAAAGGCAATTCAAAATATAACTGTTCCAAAATGACCTTAAGCAATGAAACATCTTCAGAAAGGGTATATAGCCACTCAAGCAATGCCTGAAGGATCCTCCTCATTTGGGCATAAAGCCCAGGTACTGACTGAATAAAATATTACAAAAGAATGTATGAGATTGGTTTCCAAACTCTAGAAACTGAATCAAGATTTAAAAAAGCATTTCATTAGAAAATTATTTCTAAAAACTTGTCACTCCAGATATTACTTCCAAGTCAACCTCATTTACTAAAGCAAAGCAGCAGCCTCTTCCCACTGCTTACCTGTTATACATATATACATGGACCCGGCTGGCCTGCAGCGCCGAGTCCAGGTGTTGTCGGAGTGCTTCTGTGGTAAGGACATTGGCGCCTTCTTCTTTAGGGGTCTGAATCATGAGTTGAGGATTGAACATTGCCTCTTCTCCAATCTTCTGGCGAGTATAATTTAATTCACGACTTACTCGTCCACCAACTGACCAACAGTACAGGTTTCAATTAGAATAGCAAAATCCCCACAAGTTAATGTTCTGTTATCTCACTAAGACATGCAGGAAATACAATAAATGGTCATAAAAATGAATGCCTGATGTTTGAATAACTTCACTTTATTATTACTGGCAACATTAACTTGAGCAATAATGAGCATACAACACACTCACTACACCCACGCAGGAATGTCCTACCCAACACAGGAGCGTGGCACTCCCAATGGAAAGCACTCCGTGCACCTTCCAATTAAGACACCAGGTGGAATAGGGGGAGGAAAACCTGAGACACCTTTTCCCTCAGACAAGACCAAGTTCCCTATTACAGTTTTCTCCACTTCCATAAACAGTGCCCTGCAACACATTTCAAGATAAATAACTTCAATTTACACTCTTCTTCTAAATAATCTGGCAAAAGCAGTAAGGAAATATTTCTCTTTGTTGAAAAAGAAACAAGAAGAGGTAGTACATGTGTGCTCAGCATAAAACTTGCCAGTAGATAAAGAACATGAATCCTATGAGATGCTCTGGGAAATCCCACTGAGATGTACCCAAGGCATCAGCCAGGCCTTCATGGGTAGTCCTAGACCTGCCTCCAAAAGACCCACCTGCTCAGCAGCCAAATCGACAGTTGAAAGGTTCTGAGTGGCCCAGGGCAGGTGGCCTGTGGTCTGGAAGCTCCCCCAGGTGATCCTGAATCCACTCCAGCCCTAACCCTGCTCTCTCTAAGCCAGAAGGCCAAGGCATAAGCTGCTGTCACTGCAACTATTTTTTGGGTTTTGTTTGTGTCTACTTCCTCAAGTCCAAGGCTGTATTGTAATTATGATTTTTAGATCCAGTCAAGGCCAGGATGCTGCACCTGGCTGTGGTGTCTGTGGAAAGGGAGTTTCATTTCTCACCTGTGCAGGTGTGTGCATGGGAACAGTGAGAGGACAGCACTGGAGACAGGGCTTTGATCCAGTAAGGTCAAAGGTGGGAAGGAGGCAGCAAACTGAAAGAGAATCCTAACCCTTCTTCCCCACACACACTTAAGATGGAGCAAGTGAGTCTGAACAGTTCTTAAAGTCACTGATAAGTTGAATATTTGCTGAAAAAGTGGCATTCGGCTCTAGTTTAGGAAGCGCCTTCAGTGATCACTGTGGCTTTCCCATGGGTAGGAATCCTTGTGCTTCAAGTTTAGTATTCAAGGACATAAACATTTGGTTTGGTCAAGTAAATAAGAACTGGGAGCGGCAGACTGTTTAGTTCTCTTGGCATATTTTATAAACAAGGGGGCAGGATAACAAGCAAATAATGCCCTCATTAGCAAAACCAGTCCAGATTCACAGGCTGGCAGGTTCACACAGATGGCCAAGACCACCAAGACCACTCTGTGAGGTGAGGCTTAAGCACTCAGTGTGTGACAGCTGGAGGGGAGGGGAGGATGCGAAGACAGGGAAGGAGGGAAAGAAGAGGGAGGGAAGGAGATGGGGAGAAAGCAATTTATTAGTTGGTTACAAAGTATTAAGACTCCCAGAAAATTCTGACAAATGCCCTGGAGACTTGTTGAGGCTGTTGCAAACAATTGAAGTTAAAGAAAGACCACAAGAAAATAACAAGAAACAACTGGCCACAGAGGATAAATTTACCCAGTGCCACCAGCCTTTTCCAGAAGTTGTACCCAAGCTGCCTGCAGGCAGGGTCTGGCTTCTCTGGACAGGAATCACAATGCATTATTTCAACCAATTAACTATTGAATTAGACTCAATTCACATTCTCTAGAGATAGAAAAGCCATTTGAAGCTAAAAGAAAAAAATCAAGAACCCTAATTATTAGCCTGGAGTTTTCTTCTGAAAAGCTACAGTAGCTGAACACCCAGAAGTTCCAAATAATCTTTTTTCTTGGGGAATGGAGGGTTGGGAGGGGGAAGGTCAGCCCCTTGCTTCTATTGGGCTTACTATATAACATCAATACCACAAGCCTATAAATCATTTCTATTTCTACCTGTCTCCTCAAGTATGGGCACACCATGAGATTTCCCTTTCTACTTACAACGCTGCATTTCCTTAACCATTATTGAAGCTTAGAATTTCAGGTAAATTAAAAGCAAGAGGTTAAAGGCCACAGACGTGTGCCCCGCTCTCATCTGAGCAAAGAATTGCCAGTAACCAGCAAGAAAGGCTTGCAAGCAAAATAAAAATCAATTACAAAATTCATGCCACTAATAATTCTGACCACACTATTCTGACCAGCCTCATAATGGAAAAAATTTTATCACAGGGATTTTTAGAGATTATGCCATTGCCTGTAAGATGTGAAATGCAACTCCACAACCTCATCTTTTTAAATGTCTTGAGATGTATATTTAAATTAACACCTATGTTTTAATAAAGGTATTTATTATTTGTCATTCTCTGAAATGCAAAGTCATTTGCCCATCCACCTCCTAGCTCTAGTGATAATATGAATATTTTGCTAATATGACCAGTTTTAACCAAGACTACCATATAGGTGGAACAAATCAACCAGAATGTAAAGGAATTCTGAAGTTTGCTCAACCACTTAATGATGTACCCTACTTTTGAGTATTATTAAATCCAATTTACCTTTACATATTATATGGCCAATTTTTACCTAAAATTTCATTTTATATTTAACCAAATATGCATTTTTTTTTTTTTTTTTTGCAAAACATTTCAGTAATTTAAAAAGTTAAGCTGACAAAGAATCACAACATGATTAATTCAGCCAACAAGAATTTGGGGATGTATACTCCTTACTAAGCAGTGGGGTGCTATAGCGGATGGGAAAGATAGGTTCTCTTCTCCGGAGGCTTTGCCAGAAAGAAAGCAAACCAACAGAAGAATCTCCTGGCATGACAAGTGGCACAGAAATAATTAAGATGGTGAAGCCATGTGTATTCTTGGGTAGTGAGTGGGGGGACCACTCCAAATGGGATGAGAAGAGAAGTCATATTTCCACTGCCTTTAAAGTGTATGGGGAACAGTGTTCTGGGCAGGGGAACCAGCAACTGCAAAGCCCTCATTTGGCTTGTTGCAGGGAGAGTATATGGGAGTGCAGCTCCAACTTGGTGAGACCACAATGATGTCATTCACCAGTCACATGGTAGACTTAGCTCCTTCTCAGGTATACCTGTGTCATAAACTGCACAGCATTCATAAGCTCTTACGTCAATGTTTAGCCAAGGCACTCTGGAACAAGCTACCAGAAACAGAAACCCCTCTGGACAGAGCAATTTTATGAACTGGTCTAACTTTTGCTACCTCTGCAAATGCCAATCCTAAATCACAGCTCAGTGACAGCCCTGAGCTGTTCTTATCTTGCATGTTTCCCTACCATGTACCCTGAGAGCACTGCTCTCAGGAAGCCCACAGCCTATTTCAAGTGATTGAAAGTACAGGGGCAGGGGGCACTCAGGGGAGGATGGGTGGCTTTCTCTCTCTTTCCTGTTTTGAAGGTCAAAGTCCCTTCTTATTTTTTAAAAATTAATATAATGTCCATGAAATACTGCACAGTATTTTTTGACTACTAAAATGAATCATAAGATCCAGTATTTGTAATTATAAATGTTTGCATTTACATATACTGACAGTCACCTGTGAACAGCTGTTACTACTATGTGATGTGGTTTATGGATAATATTTACCTGCTTCCCTTTTGGATAATTTGTCTGTTTCTTAATTTTTATGCAATGAACAAAAGCTAAAGACTTCCAGGTGACAAAAAGAGAAAAATTAATATGAAAGCTAGTTTGTAGGGATTTTAATTAAAAACAAGCTCAATGCAAAAGTAACATGCTTCTCAACCATATACTAAAGTCCTCTTTTTTTCTTTCCCTTCTTCCAAATGCAACAACTTTAACAACCTAACAGGCAACCTCTTTGAAAGAAACTTAAAAAAAATGTTATCCTAGGATACCGAGATGCAGAATAACCTCTTATACTTGTGTGGTGCTTTCCATTTGCAAAGGACTTTCACACTTGGAAGTTACTTATTTATAAATCTTTTTCAATGCCACACATACTCCATCAAATTGGGGCAAGCTAGAAAGGTCAAGTAATGAGGATGAGGATCTAAAGGCATGGATGCGAGGCCCAGCACTGGCACTATGGCACTGAGATTTGGGACAAGTACTCACTATAGCTGAGCCTTCAAATATAAAATGAAATAAAAAAGCTACCAGTAACCTCAGAGGACAATCAAAGGTCTGACAACGTATGTGAAATCTCCCAAATCCTTAATCAGAAGTTGAGCGGATGCCCACTCATTTATTCATTCACTGTAGGGCAGGTATCACCCTTCCTTCACAGAATAGGAGAGGGAGCTGCAGAGTTTGGGTGACTTGCCAAAGGTCACCCCAGCTGACAGGAGGTAGAGCTGACCCTTCCGCCCTGAGCACTATTACCCTTGGAGACTCAGGGCTTCTGAGGACCAACACAGATATATTTGGAGGAGCACGAAATTCAACCAATCAGGCTCTACTATGCTCACTGTGAGAGTTATTAGAATGCATGAAAAGTATTATATGGGACAAATACTTGGTATTTTTATTTCAAGGACAAAACTGCCTCCTAGATATTTTCCCACTACTGAGGAGATGCAGTTTTTCCACAGGGTGTTTTCTTTCTGTTCCCCAGAGGGGCCTGCACATTAATGGGGGTGGACAGAAGAGGCTAGCAACATTTTCTTTCATTACCTGAAAATTCTGCCATCTTGTTCTCTAGAAATCTGAGGCTTAAACCAATTATTTGGGGGGGCCTCCCCGGTGGTGCAGCAGTTGAGCGCTGGGTTGCGAAGGTGCCCGCAGCCTCTGCGGTGCTGGTTCTATCCCCCAGCTGCTCCCCGGCCACTGGAGGAGGGTCCCGCATGGCGCGCAGACCTCCTCTGCCGCCCGCTGCTCCCCTCAGCAGTGTGTTTCGTCAGTCTGCCTGTTCTGTTCCCCGCTCTGGCTCTGGTGAATTCTCTCACCCTCCCGTGCTTCTGACT